TTAAAGACTTGGTCGACGAATTGAGCCCCTCCCCCGCCAAGCCCTCTCAATCCATCCAGCGATCTTCAGGTGTGAGAACCTGAAAGGCTGCTGCTGCCCATGGGAGGACGCAACGATCAACCACTCCCTGCAATGGGCTTCAGGCGCCACCCCCCCTCCCACCCCCACTCGCCTTCGCCTTCTGGGGGGAAGGGGAAGCAGTAGCCAATCAATTGCCCACGCTGTGATCAACGTCAACGTGAATGCTGGGGGTTTTACTTCAGACGTTGCTGTCGTCCAACGGGGTGCTTGATGTCATTCATGACCCCGCATTTTGGGGGGCAAGAGACTGTTGCGCTATCTGGCCGGCTGAACTTCTGAAGACGGGCAAGCCAATCACTTCTCAGAGACTGAAGGTATCTAAGAAGCAAGGGGAGCTGACAGGCTGATCATGACCTACGAAGGAGAAACACCGAATCTTGTCAGCAACAGCCGCAGTGTTTCTCCTGGACAAGTTGGAGGTGCTGATGTGTGTAAGTGGAAATGGAAGTGTAAAAGACACCTGTTAGGTGCTTGTTGCTGCTACGATGCGTGCATGCATGCTCCGCTACAACATCAGACACCAGCGATCACGCCAGCCGGTTGGGAAACTCCTGAGCCATGCAGCAATCTCGGGGACACACCGGTGTCGGGGTCGTTCGCTCTGCTCACCTAACAGGTGAGTGCTTCTAAAGTGAGGCAATTGATAGCAGCACTGAGGCTTGATAGCGATATCAAGCCTCTTTCATCACAGGCAGCCTCGGAACCAAGCCCTGGATTATCTTGGTTGTGGCTTGAGGACTGAAACGTGCTAATACTCTTAAGATCAGTTCATTCTGGGAAGCCTTCCCCGCGGGGACGGGCTGGGGTTAAGCATTATCAGCGCTGACTTATCATAACGTATCTGCTGCTATCGTAAATCATGGACGCTTACACACTCGATGCATCCCCAAGCTGGACTGCGAGCTCACAATGAGGCCAAAGAGGTGTCTATAGAGTACCTTAATGACCTCAAAACCTCAAAACCAAACATGCTCCAAGTATGTAATGTGATTTTCATGGCCAGAAGGTATAGCGGCAGGACATCATTACCAGATTAGGTGTTTGCTTGTTGTGTAATACGCCTCAAGTAGGATCAACCCAGCTCACAGGTGCAGATTATCCCCATAGTTACTGCAAACAAGTTTGTCCACTTACGTAGTCCTCGGCATAACTCCATAGCTGCACGCCGCACATCTGCTCCTGTATAGAGTAAGCTCGGAAGAGCCGCATTCAGTAACTACTTCCCGAATCCTACATTCCTAGGAGCCCTTGCCATGATGTCTGTATACGTGAAAATACTTTGTCAACTCTTTTGCTACTAGACATCTGTTACGAGTGTGTTTGCTGATCTCACCTGACACAATCACCTCTCCCTCATGATACTCTCCATGGAGGATCTACACTTGCCATACTTAACAAGCTTTGCTATAGAAAACAAACTACTTTACTCAAAAGTGAGCGACAAGCTGAAAGAAGCGAACATAAAGATTCGGGGTTCGGCACTCGGAATACCACCGTTGTGTCGGTTCGAGGGATGCAACAGTTGGACTCGAAGACCCCGGGGGATGTGGCCATCATTAGGGGCAAACTCCTAAAGACACATGCGCTTCTTACCTATACTCAGGTGGTGCTTTAAGCCCAGAATACATCCAGGTCAAGGTATTGTATACACATAAGTTTTTTTTGTTAGAAATTGAGCAGTTTTTTGTTTTCCCCGGTTGACGGCAGATCTGGTGAGAAAGACGACAGGAAGTCACCTGATATCTTGTTGCTTGGTGTGAGATAAGGCAGGAATTGCTACTTTGTCAAAGGACATCTGAGAACAAAGTGCTCTCAAAGGTCACTCTTTGGTTTGCCTAAGAGATCATGCTGTCCTTGTTAGTGGGAACTGCGCTGGGTTCAGTGAAGGCAAGATCTTTGTCAATAACGGGTTATCTAGAGCCTTCTCAAACTAGCCTCGACAACTTTTGGCAGTTCTCAGAAGGCATGCTCATAGAGGAGGCACCTGAAGTAATATCAGGAGAAGTCATCAATGTCTAACTTGAGAGAAAAAGTGGGGTACTTATGAGGTCGAGCACACCGTTCAAATCATCACATCCTCGACCAACCTCAACCAAAGGTACAGTATAAGCTGTCTAACACTACCTTTCGGATTTCATGATGCTCATCGCTCTCATTTTCACCTAAAATAGCGACTTCCCTTCCTGACGTTCCCCTTCCTCAACCGACATACCCCCTTACGATCACGCCATGCCCGCTTCCTGGCCCCGCTCCGAGGTGACGTCAACCTACCTGACTACCTTACCCTCCATTTCGGAGCAGCCACCAGATCTTGCGGGTCTCCCCATACCGCTTCCGAATTCTTGATCCGAGTGGATCTCCGGATCGTTCTGTTCTAGGCTAACCTCGGTTTGCTGCCGGTACCTGGTTGCTGAATCATACTCGGGACGAGGGGCTCACGTTCGCAACTATCGCCGATTTTGTTTGTCATTGGCGGGGCTTATGAGCTTGACGGGATTGTCGAAGCTTACACTCTCGAGTTTACCAATAGATTTTTACCGTGAGCTCTCGGAGACATTAATCAGCCCCTGACAGCTCACCCAAGTCAACAAACCATCACTATGACCTCCAAGTCCCCCCTCTCCGGCATCAAAGCCCTAACGTTCGATGTCTTCGGCACAACCGTTTCCTGGCGCGAGGCAGTTGCCAATGCTTTAGCTGAAGCTGCACGCAACAAACTTGCTTTTCTCAAGTCCCAAGAAATTACCCCAGATCCTGAGGTCATCAAGGGCCTGGAGCGTCTCACAACTCAAAAAGGTTCTGCCGCCCTAGCAGCTCAATGGCGGGCTTCATACTCCACATTCACAAGGGGTTTTAGAAAGGGGGAGATGGAATGGAAGACGGTAGATGATCACCACCGGGACAGTCTCGCCTCCCTCCTAGCTTCAGAGCCATGGAATGTCCTTACCGTCTTCACCCCCTCCGAACTCCAAGACCTAAGTCTCATCTGGCACCGCCTCCCCGCGCACCCCGACGCACGCCCCGGCCTCCAAGCCCTCAGTTCCCTAGGTCTAACAACAGCAACCCTCACCAACGCAAACCACATCCTCCTGCACAACCTCATCACCTTCTCCTCCCTCCCCTTCCATTATCTCTTCTGCGCCGAGGACTTCTATGCCTACAAGCCCTCTCCCGAAGTCTATCTCGGCGCGTGTAAAGCCATGGGACTGCAACCGGGGGAAGTAGCTATGGTCGCGGCACATCTGGGGGATTTAGACGCTGCGAGGGGCATAGGGATGAAGACGGTTTATGTGGAACGGGAGGGGGAGGAGGAGTGGGATGAGCAGAGGAGGCGAGAGGCGAGGGGGTGGGTGGATTTTTGGGTTGCGGAGGGAGAGGGGGGGTTTGGGAAGGTCGAGAGGGGGATCAGGGGGGTTTGATTGCTAACAGGGTCGGGAAGGTTGAGAGACTTTGTGCAAGGCGTGGGTATTGCTTTGCGTCGATGAGTTATACATACAACGATAGCAGAAGGCGTGATATCGATACATTTCTGGTCTCTTAGGATTTCATGTCATGCCGACATAAATAATGGGCATTAACCGTGATGTTGATGCGGAAGAATCATGACCAGTCAGAGGTATCCGGAAGCGATTCAGGGGTTGGCCTGTCGCCTGGGGCAACCGAAATAGGGTTCTTTCAGTTTATTCTCCATTCACACTCCCTATTTATGCGACCTCCACCATACAGTCTATCGAAAAAGCAGTTTCTTTGTCAGAGTTTCTCCATTTGGCCTTTGGATAAAACTTCGATAACTGCGGTACCAATTCTTTAACTACTTCATTGCGTATTGTCTTTTCCGTACTGCATTAGTTTTTTTTATTTTCCAGTTGCTGGCGAATGACAAACACATCTCAGGTTCGTAAGCTGAGAATTCTTCATTGGCAATTAGCTGACACTCCTTGTGGGTCCATAGGGATTTCCATCAGGAGCCAGTCCCTTCGTCTCAAGTTTGTACAACCAATTCATACTTATCATCGAACTGACTTCATCGCTACAATGGGCTAAGTGATCACAATCCCTTGCTTAACTCAAAAGGCTGAAGCCGGAGATAACTTCACTCCTGGCGATGTAATTCGTGCACTTAATGAGCGGGAAAAGGACTATGTATCATAGCACATGTAGAAAACGAAAAAAAAAAAAAACATAGGCAACCTATCATCCCACACAACAGACACAGCAGCCTTGAATCGAATGATGTGCTCTTTGACATGCTATATCCCCAAGATATTTCATTATTTCATCAAAGAGTCTTCCCTGTTATTACATCCTAGAGCGTTGCACCCCCAAGTACTGAAACTGCATGCTTTTCTTAGCCAACCCGCGGGACCAGAAGCACACCATCATCAGTCAACTTGACATTGTCGACCCACACCCAATTCCCTAGGATAAAGTAATGGTGTCGTATTGCTGTGGAGGGTATGGTAACACCCTCTCACTTGCGATGCAGAGAAATTGGTCATATTTCCTCACCCTAGCTCGTCCACAACGAGGACAAAACAGTCAACAAGCTTCTGATCAAATGGACCAGGCCATTCTCAAAGTGACCTGGAGCCCTAATTGGCAACTTCTCGCCGCAATTACATGACATAATATTGTGATAAAAAGTGTGGTTAACGAAGAGATCTGGGTTGTCAAATATGACCACACAAGGGTCGGCTCTGGTGAAGTCTCCATGTCTGTGAAGGTGTGGAAACTAAACCATGGATGCACTTTATGGCCTGAAAAAGTACGACACTGGTTTGGGTATGAAACCAATAATTGTGACGATAACCACGAATGTGCTGAAGACACACATGACAATAGATTTTACACGGTTGGTGTTAGCAACGGAATATCTGGGCACTGGCTACAAAACTTCCAAAAACGAGATACTATAGTCTACATCTCATCTTCGCCCACAAGCCCAGGCTGTCCTTCAACCGCCAGCCCAACATTTATTATCGAAACTCCCGTTATGTGTTTCTCCATGGGCTAACTTGTCGACGATCATGCTTCCAGCTGTGGTTCAGGATTATGTCACCCTCCTGGATATGCTGCAAGGACATCCTACATCGTCTCCACATCTTCACTTATTACCTCTGCTCTTTCATACAACAACGATTTTCGCGACTCGGACGAAGAGTCTATACCAGAAAGTCTGGTTGTCCACATCGGTTCTCAAAAGGATGCCAACACATCCAAGTTCTCCTACGAGTTTACACAAGTTCTGCTTTATCCAACTCATCAAAAGGTGCTGGCCGCCAACGGGACTGCGCTCTATATGGCTGATCTTGATTCCCGTTGTTGGGCGGAGTTCGACTCGAAGCGTCCATAAAGTTCTCACTACGACCAACCCAGATCCAAGGAAACAAGCAAAATTTGTTGTGATCGACTGCGTCATCCGCCATCTGGCAGAAGAGTGGGTGACAAAAGTCATGAGAAGAGAGTAGGCTGTACTACCTCCTCTTCGATAACAGAATTGATTTGTGCAAACAAGCAAGGTTAGAGTCCGAAGAAAATCGCGCACCACAAAGCAAGGACTCGCCACAGACGCAACCATGTATTGCCTTGACGCCACCTTCTATCACTCGTGATCTGCTTGCCATTGTATCCCTGAAGACTCCAAGAAAAGGAGAGCTTGTCAGTATTCTCAAAAATTATTTTCCTGCACAAGAATCGCTGGGTCTGCACAGCAGACTGGAAGATTCCAAGGCTGCCTTTTCCCCAACATGGTGCCGACACCACCATGGCTGCTACCACGACCCAACTAGGCGAGAACGAGCATTCTAGGAAGTCTGGACTAAGCGAAGTACGATATCATTACCGCCTTCCAGACGAATGGGACACTGAGCGATGAAGAATTTTCCAGCATCAGGCACCCTATACACTGACCGATGGTAGAATTTTTTCTTTACCGGTGGTATGACGGCCGTGCAGTCTCAGCAATTCGATGTTCAACGCTTGGAGATATCATGACTGGGCGGTCAGACTAATTGACCGGTAATTCTTTGAAAATGACTGTATATACTTTCTCGTATGTATATACCTGAGAGGGCTTCATAGGACAATACTGCTTTGTGTTTTGCAATGTGTACAGCTATATATGTAATCAATCTGTCATATAGCAGCTGAACTGAACGAGCCGGAAGTTCGACAACTTCAAAGTCTAGCGTCCACATCGTGGTTGCTTCCAGAACCAGGTACTGTAAATGTCCCATGAAGCGTGGAACACAGGTTGTCTTGTGCATGCGGGAGCTGGTCCGAGAGATTCCGTTTTGTGAAGAGAAGGGGAAGGGCAAGAATCTCATGTGAGCATGTGTGCCAGTGTGGTGACCAGAATATGCTCTAAGGCTGCTGGACGGCTCTACAAGGCTTTGGTCAACAAGTTACTTTCATCATTGGCAGGATAAATGGGTGGTTTGGAACCTAACAGAGAATGCTTCCGACAAGGCTGCAGTTCTGGTCAGGAGACATTCCCCCAGGAATTTCGAACTTATGGAAGATATTAGGTTGGATTAGGCAATTCGCGTCGCAGTTAGTTGCTCGATTGTTGATCTTGAGTGGCCGATTGTCTATCATGTCAAGTGTCAATTTTGTTTGGCCCTCCTCATAAGGCTGACTTTCTTTTCTCAGCTGCCAATGGGCATTGTAAACTTGACACCCGGCCTCAGCTGATGTTTCTGAGAATACTTGAGCGCCGGTTTGACAGCTCTCTTACCTCTAGATTATGAAATTGCTCTTAGATCTCGTATGAAGCGTGAAGATACCTGCTATTTTCATCATATCAAAATCAAGAGCAGTCATGGGCGGACTCCCGGAAGCCCGGTGTGGCAGCCTGGTCACAAATTCGCACAAATTTGCTTTTTGAGTGCCAGAGACATTGGATTGTGGTCAGACATCTCCAGCCTAAAGGACTGAATCTCCTGAAGTTGAGGAATACAGTGTCAACTGACAGTCCATTGCTGCAGAGCCGCAACGGAACGTGACAGCCTTGTGGGGTATCAAGTGAAGGTGAAGATAACTGATAAATCTTTTGACTGGCTGCCGGAACGAAGAGGATGAAACCCACCGCCCAGTATCTGGAACCTCCGGTAGCTTCAACCCTCAGGAGTCAGGTTAAAAGCCCTCTTACTAAGTTGTCAATCTCAAGTGGTGTTCAAGTTCAATAACGACTTCAACCCCAGCCTGTGCCAGTTTTTGTGCTTATAGACCTCTCACGACGATCAGAGGTGGCACAGAGACTGAGAGAACTGATCAAGCGCCTCGACTTTAAGCTCGATCGACCCATCGGACAAACAAAACAACTTCAACATGTTCATTACCCCCTACACCGTTCCCGTCGCTGTCTCCGCAGCGTCACCGACCGCCATTCCACCCATAACCACAACGATAATATCACTCGCAACCGCCTCTCTCTCTCCTCGTGTGTATGTTCCTGGTTTGGAGGATGCCGTACCTACTGAACCTCCCGAGCCCTTGGATTGTATCATTGCCAGCACATTTTCCAGCTATCCAGCAACCACATGCCTGCCCTACTCCGCCTATTTCCCCTTACAGAAGACCAGGGGCATCGACGCCGCCTGCTTCACTCTCACCGGGCCCAGCGATTGGGTGCCTGTGTCTTTGCCCTACTACGAGGTGGATATGGACAGTTGCAGCAGCGTGAAAGCAGTGACGACAACGAGCTATTCCTGGTACCACGGCTGGTATGGCGACGAGATAAAGACGTATACCATGACTTACCCAGGCCGGGTGTCGTGCCGTTGGCACATGACCGAAGACAACTTGGAGTACTGCGAGAAAGTGTCGCCTTTGGGATGGGCTGCGCTCGTCATGACCTTCCTCACCATCCAAGTGTCGTGGTGGGCGAGCGATCTGCCGCTGCTTTCTAAGCCTCGCGATCAGGGCGGCGGATTGCGCGCCTACCTTGATGCGGTCGTGTGGGCATGCGTGCGCGCCAACAGCCCGATGAGTGCTGGAATGGTCGCCCTGTACTGCGGCCCGGGTCCAGCCCACGCTGCGAGGATCTACTACCAAGGCGTGCGTACTGGACCTGATGGGCACCTGTTTGACGGGAGGACGCCGAACCCAAGATGGAGACCCGGTCGGTCGTTGAAGTACTGGACCAGCGTACTCAACGAGTGCATATCTCTTATAACAGCGATCATCACGATTGTCAAGGCATGTACTAAGACGGTTAGGGAGGATCAGGAGCCGATCCCGTTTTCTGAGAGCTCTTGGGTTGTTCCGACCCTGCCAACCACGCTGGTGGGTTTATTCTTGCTCGCATTAGAGTTGTTGCTCCCGCCAGAAACGAAGGTCCAAAAGCGCTGGATGTGGATTCTGTTCGTGGGGTGTCTAGCAATTGGTGGGGGACTCACGGCACTCCTTTGGAAGTTCGATGCCTCGACGAGGGATATGTGGTACATTATCATGATCCTCTATTTCTTCATGTCAGCACCTATATCGGAGTTCGGAAGGCGGGCGGGCTGGGCCATCTTGGGCGCGTGGATGGTGCGCGCTGGCGGCGTGACCGTGGCGGCGTTTAATCATTACGGCGCAGGTCAGCCATGGTGCAGGATCCCTGGCAACGGGTTCGCCATTGCGCATGCGGTCTTGGGTGCTATTTCGACCATCCTCGGTGTGTGCGGTGCAATCGTACATATTCAGCGTCTAAAACAAGACATAGAGAATGCCTGCAACGGACAGCCGACGTCTTGGGAAAAAAGTGTATTGCCCCAAACATCAGAATTCCAGCCTTCGAGGGCTTGTTGAGCTTGAAGAAGCTCGGGGCACTGGAGGGACCTGAACAAAGAAGCATAGCCATCGCCTAGTTAGAGCACCATCCGTGGGGCCCCAGGTGAGTTAACCGTTAGCAATTCACAACGGTTCGGTGAGTAGATCCTAACAAAATAAACAATGCTTACCAGGATAATACGTTTCGCTAGGCAACCACAAGTCTGGACTCGGTGTCATCTTTATATATCCATCAATTCACTTACCTATCCATCAAGCCTGGTTTCCAGACATTGTAGTATAAGCAGCTGGTGTGAAAGGGAGTGGTCATGAGGATCACAGAGACAAGGTCGGCAGGATGGTCGGTAAAAAGATCGAGGCGATGGACAGGTGGGAGGATTTTCCATGCAGATCATCACCCACTTGTCCATGGTTCAAAAACTGGATTTACTGAGAATACGTCCATCGCTATCGCCATTGCTGTCGTGGTGTTTTGGAAGACTTGAGCTCCCATTGGTTATCTATCGAAATACGGGCGATAAGGGTTTAGATTTTTCAACTCTATGTAGTAAATAGTGAACGTCCATAGTCATCAGTTGCTATGTGGCAACGGTCAATCCATTTCCCAAGTGTCCATTAATACCGGTGCAGCCTGCGTATGGCTTCTCATCGTATAGACACACCGTATATGCACGGATTGGAAGAGACACAGGATTCTACGGACGACCCCGCGGTCGTATCATGAACTCTCTTCATCTTAACATCACTGGAGAAGGATTATTCAAAATATGGAAAGGTTAAAGTCAGACCCTTTCCTGAATTGTCTGAGTTCAATTGTCGTCCCGGGGACTGGTCGTCTAGAAGCGTTGCTGAAGTGGATAACCTTCTCTCAGTCTCGTCAGCCAACGGGCCATCTCACGCAACGCCTGGTCTGGTAGCATCAACGGCTTGCGGTGTAAGGATTAAGGCGATTCTTCAAATAAGCATACTGGCTCCTAAAAAAATAAATAAAGTATGAGTAACCAGGTACCAGATCATATGCAAAATTGACCCGTGAACCAACAATGGAGCAGAGAGTCTTATGGCTAAATCAGACTATATATTAGGCGGGAGGAGTTCAATGTTGTCGGATGGAAATTCAACAAACGACATCGAGTCAAGTATCATGGAGAACAGCTCATTCTCAGATTTTTCGGATGTCAAGGGGTCTTACACATCAAACCTGAGTACGTCGAATCTCAGCGTTAACTGAACTAGTCTCGACGCGAGAGTGGAAGAGTGATCCAGCAACTTCGGACAGAGTTGAGATCACATCATCAATGCAACTCATCCTGCCAAGACCGACTCTTCTCGACATCAGACCGTCCTGGATAAACATTAAAGACAACTTGGAGATGTTCCTCGAACCATCTACCGTCTCGGTGGTTTCAACCGGAACCTCAAACTTGACGACCCTTCTTACAACTCCTTTCAAGGCCATCGCTCCTCGCGATGAAGTTCCTCCCGGGCTTAAGGGAGGTGTAATTGCTCCTCCTCCATCCGACTCCTACCCGGCAACAATATGTCTTCCCTACTTCATGACGCGCGCCTTGGGCTCCAGCAGCAAGCATTCGTACGTCACCGCCGACTGTTTTACCGTCATCAACAAGTACGATTTTGTGCCTAAGCCCTCACCATGCTACACGGCAGAGTGCAGCAGCAAGTGGCTGCCAGCGACAACGTCATACGAGACGTCGATTAGGTTCTATTCGACCATCATCTGGCAGATTCCCTACCCCGAGCGAATTGAGCAGATATCTCGGTCAGAAATGACCGAGGACTGCCCGAAGGTGTGCGGTCCGGTGCCGGTATTCTCCGGGAGGAACCTGGTAATGGTCTTCATCTCCACTCACGTGTTCTGGTAGGCGAGCGGATTTGAAGCCTCTTTTCACGTTGCGGCAAAAGGGCGACTGGTTCATGGCATGCTGCAACGCGGCTGTGTGGACGTGCGTGCGCACCCGCAGTCCCCTCAGCGCCGGCGTTCTCGCAGATCTGCTACGGTAAGGGCCCGAGATACTGGGCCAGCGTTTACTATGAAGGCTTTCGTTCCAGCGCCAACAACAATAAGGCGACAGGGAGCTCAAAGCCAGTGTCACGGTGGAGATTTGCCAGGTCGTCCAAGTACTGGACGAGCCTGATTGGGGAGTTCTCTTACAATCGCGACAACAAGGATGACAGAATATGAGGCGTGCACTACAACATCCGACTATGTATGGTGGCGGCTGCAGCAAAACGACCCCAAGGATCTCGCAGAGCACATTGACGGTTCTCCAACTACCGACTACCATTAGTAGGTTTGTTAATCTTCACCAGGGAGCTATTCTTCGAAAATTGGGAGAAGAGATGAAGAGGCGAAGCCTCTTGCTTTTGTACCCGCTGGTTTGGGGCATTGGGACCAGCATAACAGTGATGCTTTGGCGGTTTGACGCTGTGATAAGGATCTTTGGTGCATCACCGCTATCCTCTACTTCTCCATGACGGCTCCAATGGCAAGTTTTAACAAATGGATCATCGACTTAATGATCGGGACGTGGCTAGTCGGGGTTGACAGTGTTTCTGGTGCCGCGTTCAGTCACTACGGCGGAGGGCGACCATGCTGCAAGATGCCGGGTTCAGCGTTCGGTATCGTATATTTGGTTCTAGGTGCCATCTCAATATTTCTCGGCACACTGGGCATTTTTTGCGTGTAAACCGCATGGAAAAGGACTTGAAGTTGCGGAAGATAAATGCAAACTTGGAACGCCAGTATTTCGAACTTAAAGTTGGAATCCCCAGTTGAACTGAACGCGCCGGACGTCATGTCAACGTCCCCCATATATGGCCACGGAGACAGCTACCAACTTCGTGAATTTTTAATTGAAGCCTGTCTCAACTATCTGGGTATATGAGTTACTTAAGTTTTGTGAACACGGCCATGATCCCTTGCTCTCTATGTTACTTGAGACATTCTTGCGCTAACGACTCTTGGAAGCCTACAGAAAGAGGATGCATGGCTAGAAGCAAAACACCAGGGAGCATCCCTCCAACAGGACATGAAGGTGTCATTCATCCAACATTCGAGGCATCGAGAGTTGGCGAGGTTCATCTTAAGGAAGTCGAAGGATGTGTTGGAATCAACTCTTGGCAAGGGCTAAACAACGTTGAACTTGAAAATTCTAATGTAGCTCATTAATTGCTAATGCTGATTGTGATCAAGGTCAGTTTTGATGCGATGCTGCATTCTGAGTAAGTATTATATCTCTCTCTATATATATATCTAAGTCCGGGACTTTAGACAATAGGAAGCGCCATAACCACAATTCCATAAATCCATAAGACAGGCGGTCGAAGTTTATATTTTCTTCCTTCCGATCTGGCCGTTTCAGAACATCTTCCATATTTCCTGGTTTTTTTTTCCTGTCGGCTACTTCTTATGGCTACGTTGGCATATATATATATATATATATATATATGCCTACGCCGCCCCCCAGCTTCCAAAGTTTGAATAGAGGCCAATGCAGTCATGTGCCCGTCCTTCAGTCTTTGTCTCTCATCATATCCTCTTTATAGGACGCTTTGTGGGACGCTAGTGGCAATCGTGAGGTACTCCTCACACTTCTCTAGATTCAGGCCTAGGTTACTGACATGGCCCACGGTCCTGAAGGGGCACACATTCACGAAGTTACGTGACTCCTTCCCATTGCTATTGTCAAATGAGCGGAAATTGACTTTTCTTCTTCCATTCCTTCTTTATTCCTTCTTTCCTTTTTATCTTCCTCCCTCTTTTTTTCTACTAGCTTTCCTATTTCTTATTTATTTAGTGAGACGTGATATAATCATGTGGCAAAATATGATCTCTAAAAGGTGTTAGAGGTTCAAATATTGTGCAAAGAGAGTTTTATAGTAAAAATTACGCAGGTATGATATCTGTACCAGCTAGAACTATGTCCTCACAGCTAACCCAGCTCAAAGTCAGGCTCGTCTGTGCCTTTGAGGAAAGTCCCATTCCAGCCACCAATCATCGCTCCCTTCGGAAAAATCTCCGATCAGGATAATTCCGCTTTCTAAGAAGGCAAGACTGCAGGTCATCAAATTTTGCCCTTGTCCAAAGAATCCAGGCCTGATATGCGCCCAGGCAAGGCTAGATCGGGGCCAATCTCGCTTCTCCTTCCTCACTAACGAGAGGGGTCGATAGCACAGGAACGCATCTTTGCAAAGGCCAGATGGTCCACCACATGAAGCTTATGGAGAATGGAGGTTGTAAAAGGATGGAATGGGATTTTGGCCGAGGTGCAGTCGGTGAATGCAGGACGGCAAGTCGTGATCCACGATGGATGGACTTGAAAAGCACACACCTCTTCGGTGTCATGAACAAGTGCCATACCACCCGCCGACCCCCGATGATGCAAAGACAGTCCGACGAGCAAGCAAAAACATCACTGGACAAGTGGGATGGTAAGAAAAAGGGGAAAGCAGAAACAAAGAGCCCCGACACTAACAAACTGAGACAAGCCTAAGCCAAGCCACGTGGGGGTGGAACTGAGTGTGTGACCGTTACGTTCGTGGACTCGTGCGCTCATGGTTGTGCGCCTTCGTCGGTCGCCCGCAACCCCTGTTGTTGACTTTACCAACGACGGCAAAAGGCGATGCGCGACCCCTGTCAAGGACGCCGACCGGTGAGAGTCAGCATCATGGCATCGAGATCAGGTGGTCTTTTGGGCGCTACCTAGGTGAGGGGAGAGAGGATTTAATATGTCATGAAGTGGGAAAGTTGGCTGGTGAATTACGATGGTGAGGGAGCAGGGTGTTAGAGTCGCATGCCGACCTTGGTACGTAAAAGAATGAGTGCAAGCGCCGGGGAGTTGGAGAGGTTGGTCTAACCGGTAATTGTCAGAGACGGGACCGGGATCGGAAGGTAGTTGATGTCGGCATTCCGATACGGATACTGAACAGTGAGTCTTGCCCATACCGATCACGGCCATCAAAAGAGAGCAGTGAAGACACTGCTGAGAAACTCCGCGGGCGGTACCGACCATTGTCACAACTTTTAGCGTCTGGATACTGGAGCAAGTTTGAGCCCGTAATCCATATCTGAGACCCGACCCCCAATATCTCAAGTCCTCAGCCTCACCTCCACGCTAATGCGTGATGTGGAGTGAGCCTCCAACCATCCAACGGCGTCTTTGATGTCTCGATACAAATGCGGTATCAGATTCTGATGACGAGAAGAAATGGAGCCGGCAAGATGCCAGTCCTTCGGCGGTATCAACATCAACCCACCCACCAGGCCTAAGAATGATCCCTCGGTGAGCGATAACTAGTCCAGACCACACCTCAGCTTGTCTGTGGACAGGCATTCAGCCTTATCAAGTTATCAAGCAGAAACCAATGGAGTCGAGCATGGGTGGGCGGAGTTGTGTTAGCGTGAGCCTCCTGTCTCGAAATTAGAGCTTGTCTCCATTTCGTGGCCGAAACCCACATGTTTGACAACTTCTGTGTTGTCAACATTGTCGTCCCCCAGAAAAAGAGCGTGTAGAGTGCTCTTAAAGGACAAAGGAAAGCCAAGGTCTAGAGGAAGTTCATTGTTGGGCTGTTATGGTTATCATAGTAGCGGCCGTTGACACGGTTGTGCTCATGCTCTTCCCGTTGTTGTACCAAGGGGCATCATGCGGGCCACTGAGGGGTGGTGTTGACGAACGGCACGGCAGCATCGGGCCGTTGTGACAGTGATCCTTCAAGGTCTTGTTAACTCATCACTGTATGTTGGAGGAGTCTTGCAGCTGGAATGCTGAAGGAAGCTTGGCTGGCATGGGTGATGTTATTAACGCTTCAGCTGCCCCTCCACAGGCTGAAGCCTAAGTAGCAATCACAAAGTTATGAAGTGCGAAGGGAAAATGATCAAAACATTCATTCTGAGACTGAACTAAACAACCCTTCTGTTGTGAACTTGCATCAACTTCAAGTCCAGGCACCTTCAAACATCTACTACCAGCCTGTTGACTGCCCACAAAGTCCAGACCCAGCCAGCCCCTCGAAAAAGTCTTGGCGCCTCTGCCTGCATGGCTGCTGCAGCTGCTGGCACCTGCAGGGCAGGGCCGGCAGGCTTGGCACCCCCACCCAATTTTTGGGAGAGGTGGGGCAGGGAAGATCTCCCCGGTTGTGCACGAGCACTCTGCTTTCCAGGGTTCCCACCCAACTGCGATTTGGCGGCGCCTGTGGGATCTTGGAAAATTGGAATTGCGGATTCTTCGTGACTTGGACAGGATTATGTTTTCTTGAAGAATGGATAGATCATGGCTCGATGAGAAGGTGAATAACGAGGTTGGAAAATCATATACCGACCAATGGGAGCGACTTGTGATCTCCCAAAGAGGGGTTGTCCAGATCTAGAACACCACAAAGCCACCACCGTCACAGCATCCCATTTACGCACCCCTCACCTACAGGCTACAGCAGCTGATGTAAAACACGAGCTCTTCCCACACAGCTGATGACTTGCCTACCACTGACATATTACAGCTCCTACCTATGCCGAGCCAACGCGTAACACCTCGTGTCCAGCTCCTCCATTGCAGACTATCACTACACTTATGTACAATTGACGATCATTCTGCTCTCGATCGTCCACACGGATTTCTTACTTTTTGCCTGCAGAGACCGATGGAACAGTACCGCTACGGATACGCATGAATCGGAATTCGGCCGGCTGGTCAGCCGCCGGTCTTCCGGATAGCTTACCCGTGAACGGATAGGGTGTGCAACCTTGCGGTACGTAGTAGTATCGACATCCACTTACTCAAGCTTCATCCAGCCTTCCGATCGGGTCTGGGCAACAGAGAGAGGGCCTATGATGAACAGATGAACACCCTTTTCATGATGGGTTCATCCCACGTCACCTCAGCCTTGTTTACCAACAGCGGTCTGCCATCCAACCGCAGCATAGTGTGGGTGCTGTAGGTACGACTCCCCCCCCCTCCTACGACCTAATAAAATCCGTAGCATCCCCCTTGCAGAGATGCAGGCAACAGGCCTATCTGCAACCACTTGCGTTTCCGCGGCGTGGGTGATGGCTTTGACTTCCAACCGGATGGTGTAAAGACACACACCGCAACCGTACAGCACAACATGGGGTGCCTTGTAGGCAGACAGAGAGATTCGAATGGACGGAACGCTGTTGCGCTGCAGGTCTCGTTGCATCCATCCATCGTCCATTCATTCCGGAACACACAGGTTGCAGTGTTGCGTTGTATGTGTGTACGTTGTATGTATGTGTAAGCCAGGGGTTGAAGACTTTAGAGTAGGCAGCGAATCAAACCGCTGATGATGACGAAAAGTCCCGATGTACATACGTATGTGATGCTGTAGTGGAAAAGGCTGTCCCTTCAAGAGATCAACAAAATCCCACGCTGTCATCTCGCTCGCTTGCTTCCCTCGGCGGAATGTTTTCGCCCATGCTACTTGCCAGGGTATACTTCTTTCCGGAGTATTGGGTGCGTAGGTAGGTTGGATTGATGAGCAAATTTCTACCTTTTTGGGGGCATGTCACTAGAGCAGCAAGGCAAAAAGTTCCCGATGCCATGGCGACGGTTTTTCGTCTCGTCAGGGGGGTTTCATCCGCCGCGGACGCCTCCAACCAACAGCACCTTGGTTAAGGAAAGCTGGCGAGGAACTTCTGGGGATGTAAAGCTGCTCATGCTGTGTTGGATGTTCGAAGAAATGAGCAAATTGATTTGGAATCTTACTCAACCTGCCGAGGAAGATTGATGTGATGATCGGCTCCGTAAAAGAGCTTATCTGCAGTGCTTAAGGGAGAAAGCTGTTAGTAAACGAGCACTTATGGCGCCATTGCCATCAGGGCATACAACCACTTTGGAAAGAAGAATACCTCTTAGAGATGCCATCAGAACGGCCATCTGGGCAACTCTCATAACGAAAAGCCATGCATTGTAAACTCTCGAACCCTCCCCCCCCCCTCCCAACCCAAAATCCCTCACAAACCCTAACCACCACCTCAGCAAATCATCAACCCAACCCACAATACTGTATTAAACTGGAACTCCCAAGTGACAAATATCAATACCACGATTACCTATCCTGCATAGCTCCAGTCCATCATGATAAAAGTTCATCAAAATCCCATCCCATCAATCATTTCTATAGAAGTCTGTCAAATATGAACTACAAACTGCCCTCCAACAAAAATAATTCCAATCTCCCCTCCGTCAGAGAAACCCCATATCCCAAAGTGTAAGGAGCCCTGCAAAACCACAAAAAAAAAAGCGATGTCGGTCCTCAGCCGATGACAATATAACCGTACAATGTCCCAAAACGCCGATCTTTTCTTTCTTGTTCAGGCAAGGGTCGTAGGGCCGGCAGATGACTCCAGGAAGTGAACGATTGTACGGAATCAAGAATGAACAATCTGATGTGGGAGGGGCTTGTAGTGAGTAAAGTTGATTGCCACAGTGGCAAGACTAACTTGGTATGTGATGGCTAAGTCAGTAGGGCAGTTTAGCATCAGGAATTGCTAAGATTGAACTGTATGTAGGGAATGGTATCAAATTGCACATTCACCATAGAGTAGGGCCAATTCAATGAGTATCACTCTTCGCAGTAGCACGATTTTCGGAAACTTTTGTCACTTGCACTTCTCTCTGTTTCTCACGCACTCAATTCAACTATCTTTTTACTTTCTCTCTTCATCTCTTTCATTTTCCCTGGGGAATCATTTCGCCTCCTCGACACTTTGCCTGCTTGCCTCTTTGTCTGCAAAACTGTCTGCACCGTAGGGGTAAAAACAATACTTGCTTCCACGTTGGTCGCGCGCAAGGGATTTCTCCCTATTCTTCCAGCCCGTCCGGTAGCTCAACCGTATATTCCCTGGTTGCTGTTTCCCCTGCTCTGCGGGCATCTCAAGAACAGTCGGCAACCAACCATTCTATCTCTTATCATACCCCCAAAGAGCAGCGAGAATCAAGAAACCGTCTAATCCGGCCCAACCCAACCAGATGACCTCTTCTCCTTTCCCTTGGTCCCACGTCCCATTTCCAGGACCTCCTTGCCCGTCCTTGATCCTTCTATCCAGTCATCTCCCCTTAATGCCCAACCCCACAATCCACAGACATCCAGAACTTCCCCATACCGACCAGATGGAGATGTAAAAGCTGTGCCAAAAAGACCCAAATTCCTTGGTTCAATAACTGAACGGAACCACTTTCTGTCTCCATTGCATGACACCTTTTCCAGGTGAGGAATGGATAACCAGACGATTTGGGTGAGGGGAGCTGGGAACAGGGCAAACAAGACGGGGAAGAAACGCGTGCCATTGACCCAGACAAGCAGGTATCTGAAGGTAGCTATAGGAACCAAACTCTAAATCTCATCCCTTGCGCGCAGCAGACAGGAAAGGAAAAGGTGAGGGGGGGGAGGACAAAAAGGAGGGAAAACCGATGTGATGAAGATCAGATGATGAGAGTGATGTTGACAATGGGAGAAACAGAAAGTACAGCCCACCCCTTCCGCACAGGATAAGCCAAAGCTTTAAGAGATAACAAGAAAAAAGAGTTTCAAGGAGAAACAGGATATTTACGCCCAAAATGCCCTCTCTTTTCATTTATGCGCCGTTCGCCTTATGTGGAGAATTGGTTGTTGTTGGTTATATGGGTTGTATCTTGTTAAGTTGATTGCTGGTAGTAGAAAGACGGGCTTTTGTCAAAAAGCGAGACAAGAACAAGATAATGCGACACATGTCATCTAAAAAGAAGGCATAGACCGAGATTTTATGATGGCGGTCATCAAGCTACACGGTTTCTAGCATCGCCATCTTGGGTATCCTATGTCGATGCCCGCACGCCGAAGGACGGGCCAGCGCTGTGCTCGTTGTGTATAAGAGGGGGGAAAAAAAAAAGAGGTGATGATGATGATGATGATGATGATGATGTGAAGGGTATTCGGTTTAACGGCGGTAAAGATAGGTTGCTATATGAATGATCAAACTTCGTTCGAGTCGACCGGGCGCTCATAATACGACGCACACCCCCTTGCGGCGCTCGCGGCGGTACCGGCCGCCCTTTTCATTGGTCAGGCTCGAGGACGTGGTACTCCTCGAGTCGAACTTGGTGCCGGGAGGGGCGGCTAGCAGCTGTTGTTGTTGTTGTCGTTGCCTGCGCAGGATGCGGACGACATCGTAAAAGGCCTTGTCGACATTGATGTAGTTTTTGGCCGAGGCCTCGACGAACTCGCAGCCCAGTTCGCGCGCCAAGGCGTGGCCTTCTTGGGTGGAGACCTCGCGCTCGGCGATGCGGTCGCTCTTATTCCCCACAAGCATGATTGGGGGCAGAGCGGGCGCAGCGGCGCCCAAGGGCGACCCGTAACCTGGCGATGACTGTGTCGACTCCTTGACCCGCTTGATCTGGTTATGGAACTTCTTGATGCGCGTGAAGGATGACCGTGATGAAATGCTGTAGACTAGAAGGAAACCCTCGCCGTCCCGGATCCACTGATCTCGTAGCGCCGTGTATTCTTCTTGCCCTGCTGTGTCGAGCACCTCGAGCATGCATGCCTGGTTGTCGATGACGGCCTGCTTGCGGTAGGAGTCTTCAATAGTTGGGTCGTACTAGTCGGTGAAGTTAGTGCATGTTCATGTCCCTGAGGCAGCAGTCATTCGAGGCTCAACGTACTGTCTCAACAAAGTGTTGCAAGCAGAGCTGGATCGTCAAGGCCGTCTTCCCTACGCCGCCATCTCCCAGCACCACCAATTTGTACAGAACCATTTTCCCCGCCATCTTGAACAAGCGTCTTGCGGCGGACGCGTCTCGCCCTTAGGTGGTCGGATAAATCACTCGAATGAGGTTCAGAAAGGATGGCCAGCGGCTCGATGAGAAAGATCGGCTCGAGATCAGAAGCAGTATAGGGGTGTATGCGTGCAGGCTGTTGGATGGCAAAGATCACCCGATGCAACGGCGTGACGTGCGGCACAAAAAGGGTACCGTCGGAGTAGTGGAGGAGCAAAGGAGAAAGGAGACAAGGAAGCGGCTTGTGAGAAGTGGCTTGGCCCCTCTCAGACGCGCGATAATAGCAAGGTTGAGGGGAGAAAGGGGACGATTACACGGAATTGTCGTGTAGGTGGTGGTTTGTGGATGAAAGATAATCGGCAGGCTGCCGGCAGAGAAAGGAGAGACAAGACGGGACTCTCGGCGGCGAACTGTTGTTGGTCCCAGCAGCAGCAGCAGCAGCAGCAGCAGCAGCAGCAGCGGGCAGAGGAGAGTGGATGGCCGAGCCGGGGTTCAGTTCGTTGTGACGCTGGGGCGCTCTGGGCCTTGGGAAGCTTGGTGCAGCAGGATCCGTGTGGCCAGTGAGCAGTGGGTTTTCCAGGTTGGCTGGGATTCTGGGACCGGCCGCTGGAAATGCTGAGGTGGGTGCTAGGATGGCGGTGGACAGTATGGAGAATTGGTGGTGGAGCAGGCAGTCAAAAAGTGAGCGTGGTGGCTTTTGGCTGGGCTTGAGGTCTTAGGCTTTTAGTTTTGGGTTCTTTTTGGCGAGCAGCGACTCAGCGAGTGCGAATTGGCCCCGTTACCGGCATCGGGGCGCCGCCAGGGAGACTGGGTCTGGCAGTATGTCTAGGAGTGCAGGGAGGCCCAGCGTCGGGCGGGTGGATGCGATGCGTGGATTGCTTGACGCTCGAAACTAGATCTTGGCTGCGTCTGTCCCGGAAGTCGGAGGGCGACTAGCGAGCTGGGAGAGATCAACTTTGCCGCAATGGTTTAAAAAAGGTTGTGAGCTGCTCAAAAGCTGCTGTTGTAGTCAGGGCTAGGACAAAGGCAGCATTGACGCGAGCAACGTGAAGAAAAAAAAAAGCCAAAGAACTGCGAAGACATTCTGCCCGGTTAATTTTCTCTTTTCTTCTCACACTCGCACACCCACTTCGGAATCAAAAACGGGCCCCTGGAGACGAGGAATGGAAACAACCACAATAACCAAGTGTCCCCTTTCCTTTCTTGCTTCTGTTTTCCGGGCCGGCGCCCTTGGGTCTGGATAGGCTAGCCCCAGCGGCTGCAAGGTGAGGGGCAGGGGGTGGGCGTGTCAAGCACTGGACCCACAACTCAACAGCATTGCAAGCTTAGACCAAGAATGGTAAACAGCCATTCCAGATCTCACCACCCAACCCGCAGCCAGATATCCGCACGCTAACTGGCAGCCGGCCACAGTACTCGGCCCCGCGCCTAGCGGCAAGACGCAGACTGCGGTGCCGCGTGACAGGATGCTCTCACAAACACGCTCGAGGGTCAGAGGAGATAAAGCGACTTCTTCTCGACATCTTTCCATTTTTCTTGCATATTTGCGACATGTTGGCCTTGCAGAACAGTGCTGCCTCGCGGGCTGCGTGTACCCCGCGATGCATAATGTTAGCACGGATGGGTCCAGCACGATGGCAGACTTGCCTGCAGAACCGAGGGCGTTTGGTGCGAGCTTCGTGCTGCGTGCTGCGGGCAACGGGACTTGCCACAAGGCGAGCGGTCCCCAAAGCCACGACCACACACGACCGCATCGACCATACGCCCGGCGCCCGTCGCGAGCACCAGGTCCTCAATTGAATGGGAGTATGAACAGCCTGTTGGCGCGGCGGGCATGTGCTACTGCTCACGCTGGGCGAGAGCTTCTGGCCAATCCCCTTTCTGCAATGCCACGCCGAGCTGTCGATGCTCGGCCACACTCTCACTCTCTCACCTCATGCTCCTCGGCTGCTGCGCTATGTCTGATCGAATGGATTTCACAAGTGCACTACGTATGGTGATGGGATGAGATGAGATGGGAATGCATACATACAGGATACACCAATCTGTTCAATGGATGATGGCTGCAGTAACTCTTCGCCAACCACTTCTGGCGTCCAAACCATGATCCTATACCATTTCTCCAGCAGCTCGCCGTCTCTCCTGTCCGTTCCTCCTGTTGCTGCCCTGTGTCCCGGCGCACAGGACGTCAGGACGCCGAGCAAAGGCCGCCAGCAGTCCGCCAGGAATACGGCTCAAACTAGGAATCTTGTTCCGACTGACCAACCACAGCCAAATATACACTATACTTACATGTCCGGTGCAGGTGCGGATGATATGTGCATACATAACTCCTCGGCACCACCTCGAGCTATGTACGATACGTACAGGATTACATACCGATCACAAGCACTGGCTCTGATAGGTAAGCAACACAGACACCAGCACAAAGCCAAGACAAACAGATAGGACAGATCATCACCGCCGTAATCTTTGGTCCATGATGCAAGATGAATGGATAAGACTGCAGTGGACGGATGACGCGCGCACAGGTTGCTCTCCGAATCGCGCGGGACTCCATGCTCTCGTCCCCCGCCATGGATCGGTCTGTCCTGAAGTTGCTGCCGCTCCCCCAGACTTCTTGACGAGACCAATGCCCAAGTTCAGCAGGCGTTGAGTAAGAGTGAGCTTTGCGCACGGCACAAGCCGATAGACCATCCTGATTGGGGATGTTTCAATTTTTTTTTTCAAGCTTCTGTCTGTTTGAGCTTGTGTGTGCTGTCAATCCGAACGTCACATCTCGGCGCCGTTCACCGGGCCTACTTGGTTTTACCTACCCAGATGGTATACCTCTTCGGCACGCGCTATCATATCTGATCCATCCGTCGTCCCGTTCGGAAGACGGAACAGGGTTCGACGGCTGGATCGAGATGCTTGACCAGTGGGGTAGTTCTGACGCGACGTCAACATCTGCAACTGCACTGACAACGATTTCTTTTTTGTCTTAGGTCCTTCTCTCGCCCTGTTAAAGTTGGGAAAGCCTTTCACGCACGAACCTTGGTTCAGACACTCAAGGCGTTTTATGACAGGAGCGGCTAAGTAAACAAACTTCAGCGTACCTCCCACGGCCAGATCTCGGATGTTTCCTTCGGTCAAGGTGCTGCCGTCTCCCGCTGATCAGCCTCATCAACGAGGCAGGCCAAGTTTGTTGGTGTTGGTTATCACGGAGGACAGAACATGAAAGGCAGGCCGTGCTTGTTCGGTATTACGCCCGCCGCTGCTGAAATGCTGAGTGGAACGTGCACTCACTGTAAATGCAGTCGGCCAAGTACGAACGAACTCTTCCGTAAGTAAATCATACGGACGATGTAAGTACTTATGTAACGATCAGCCAACATGTGTGCTCAACAAAAACCAACTGCATTTCGACTTTCCAAGGTATACTTTAATGACGCTATGATTGCCGGGTTTATTGAACTCCTTTTCGGCAGGCTGGAAGCTTTGTATGGCCGAACTCGGACCTGAACTGGGCTGATGCCATTCATTGACCGGCTATTAATCGATCATCGAGTCGACAACAAGGCCACTTGCAGATCTACGCTACCCCTTTTGCTGGCCCTGCTGGGCTGTCCTGCCTTGGTTCCGGCTCTCATCAAACCCCCTCTGACATGCCTGTCCATACACCTACATACGTACATACTTAGTATAGCACTATGTATGTAGGTTCTTTTTCTAAGGTGCATGTACCCATGTATCTACTATGGCTGTATGGGTGGTGACCATCGCTGATGCAGTCTGCGCTTGCTCTGACCCTGCCTCAGGTTCGGTTTTTGAAGACTCCTATTGGACGGAAAAGCCGCCGCCGTTCGGTCGACGACCTCCGGATCTAAAGGGCTCAACGCCTGAATCGGTCGTTGGACCTCTAGCTGAGGCTTACGTTCCAAAAGGTCCGATGGGTGACTTGATGGCACGACATGTACCCTGTACATGCAGTTCTCGTGTAGTAGCTATACCGACTCTGAGAAAGGGGATCCATCCCTTGAGCGCAAAAACTTGCTTTCCTGGCTACCTAGCTGTCAAAGCAAGACCGCAGCATTTGCGGTCTGTCTTCTCTGCATATCCATCGGCTTGCTCGTTCTGTTGGGTTCGACCTGGTTGGCCGGCCGGCTGGCCGAGGGGAGCTGTCAGCCTAACGGGCTTGTTTCGCTGTGCCTTGATTGGTTGCATAGGTCACACAAGGTACCAGGTACACGGGCTCGGGTTAGACACGCAACCTTTTATACAGAGCCTGCGGCTGGTTTTCGGTACGGGGGAGATACTTGCTTACTTAGAAGCACCGTTTGGGGGCTGAAAGGTGGTAGGTGCATCGGAGAGGAGGAAAATGAAGATCTTCGGCATCTACGATACCAGAGGTTACTGGTAAGGTATTCTAGGAGATCTGATGAGGTCAGAATTTTATCCGTACGCCCGTTTTTGAAGATCGCACCTTGAGTAGATAAACCAAGATCACAATACGAGACTTTTTATGTTTACTTCTTCAAAGGACCTATATTTCCCAGTTTCCTTCCGTTCATCCTCACCTTACCTACAACCCCTCTCGCACATCTGCAATCCCCTCTGCACGTTACACACATTAACATCCTACTGCTCACAGCTCACGCAGATCATTACGTCTTGTTCGACAAGTTAAGTTATACAGAACTTCTAGCTCTTACTATTAGACGCCTGTCTCCCTCCTGTGTCCTATCACCACCTCCTGTGTCTCCTCAACGAAAGTACCTTACATCCTCTTGCCCTTCGTAACCTCCCACACTCACTGTTCTTACCGGGTCGACTGTCAACATACCTGCCTGCTTCCCCTACCGAGCATAGAGGTATTACAAAAAAAAGCGCTACGATAGATAGGGTCCGATGCTGGTTTGCGTGACTCTGGAGTTAAGACAGACAACCCGTTGAAGTAAACAGGGCTCAGGACAGTAGAGGAGATATCACAGCTGAGTCGGATGAGACATGCGCGTGTAGCTCGGTTGATATCACCATGAGGCTTGCTGGCTTGGGGACTATATCGGGAATGGACAGGCGAGATGGATGATGAAGATGCTGCCTGGGCGTCAATCGATTTGCCGACTTACGTGCGCCATCTGGCTATCATTGAAGCAGGTTTACAGTTGAACTAGCTGTCAGCGTAGCATAAGACATACCAGGTTCTGTGCCCTGTTGGCAACGCTCCCATCAACCACGGGGACATTTTACAGGTAAGCTACCTTTGTAAGTCATCGGTCCATAGTCCATACTTCATAGGAACTATAACCACCTTAAAGTTGACGTTTGCAGGAACCTTTTCCCACAAACTCCCTCCCTCTCTCGTCATTGGCCCGTTCGACCGCCCATGAATCTCGAAATCCGGGGTTAATATTCCCTTCCCGTAACCTTACACACGGGCTTCCCATTCGTAGCTGATATACTTCCAGTCTAAGACACTTGGGGGCCGCTCGGTATCCAACTTTGGATATATATGCCATGATATAGGCCCTCAATAGAACTGCCGCGCGTCGACCGTTACCGGTATAATAATATAGAGAGGAGTTAACATCCTCATGTGCTGTGATGCATCCTTGTCTATGATATGCTGTTCGGGTTCGGATCCTCCCGACCCGGATATTCCCAGCCTTATCCTCCCCTCAAGCTTATGGTCTCCGACGGCTATAGTAGCCATGATGCTTAGAAGCTCACTTGGTAGGTAGTTTTGCTTTGATGAGATTGGTAATACAAACCATCAACCCTTCCTGGTTCGTGCGTTTCGAGCCATATAAATCCAGAAAGCTATGCGCCGCTGAAGAGCGTTGAAAATGGAGATTGGATGGGATGCGGAGAGGCTGAATGGGGGCTAAATCGGATAATATTGGAGTGAGGAGTCAATAGTGCTTGAGGAACGGTGGGGGGTTGAGAGGTGATTGGATTATTGAATGGTTACACAGGACAGTGAACAGTGATCGGGAGAACGTTGGGATATATGATTGGTATGGAGGGGTCTGAGAGGTGATAAATCGTAAGATCAAGGAGGCTAGCTGGATCATTGTTTTTTTTTTTTTTTACTCCGAGGGACGCTGGACAATACAAGCCAGGTGTCGAAAAATAGCGGGCTTCTTTCCTGGAGAGTTCCGCCATTGCACTAAGATGACAAACCCCCAGTGTGAAATGAGAATACCGTTTACTTTTGATAGACATAGAGTAAGGGTTGAACTGAGCTTGGATATGTAGCGAAGTTGTAGACCACTTCGCTACCTTAAGCCATGTCTTAGGGTAAACTTAACATCTCAGACTTTGTTGATTACATAAATGACACGCTTCAGGTCATAGAGATGGCGAAATAGAGCAGAAAGACAAAATGCAAGCAACATATAACCGTGAATCACGATTGATCACCTCATTAACCTCCATAAACTTCAACTCGCAAAGCAAACTAGATGGTGCCACTATCAATAGCCAAACGTTACTCTTAGATCTATCCATGCATACATGGATAAAGAAAACTGGTGCCTTAACACTGCAGCAAAGATCCTGGCTTCCACTCTGTTGTTGCTGTTGTGCTTTCTCTTTTGCTTATAATCACACTGTTAGTTGGTTAACATAAACATTTTATATGCGAAAGCCGACTACTCACCATTCTTGAGAGACTGCTGGCTGAGGACATTGTACACGAAACCTATATCTATTTCTTGAGGTAACTCTCTATATATTTGGTCATGGATACATACTATTGATCTGACACCACCTGAGATTCTGTGAGCTAGGCATCGCCTTTCCTCACCATCACAGCTAGGCCGGCCTGAACATTGAACATGTTAGGGGAGCTCGGGCGGAAGAGTCCCTTTGATATTGGAGGAAAGGATCAAGAGTGTGTGAGCTGTGTTCTCCCAGGTTATCCTCAACCCCGAAGAGTTCTTAGAACAGGGTTGATGAGATTGAACCTGGAGACGGAGTGCCTACCTAAACGACTTCTGGGTATCATGGACATAAAAAGCAAGGAACACATGGGCTGATTACCAGCACACTACAACATGATAAAGAACAGAGCAGAGACAGTCAGTAAAGGTTGCTTGCTACACACAAACTAGACACTACACGGTCACATTCACTTGGGCAGCAGACATCTTGCACGCCAATCATAAATCACTTGTTGTTCTAACCACAACTGTTGTCATCAATTCCCATCTACCTCCTCCTATTTATCTCCACTCAGCCATAAGCCTGCTCTCGAGGGTATATCATCCCCTTTTCAATAACACAAGTAGCAGGTAGTGGAGCAAGGAATTCATCACAGATATATCTGGATCATCTCTTTCGAGCCAGTTCAGTTAATCGGACCTAGATCCATAGATGGATCTCCCGAACTTGCCCTGTCCCGCCCCAAATCAAACTCTTCCCCTTTAACCAAAACCGTCAGGAAAACGCTCTTGGCTTAAGCCAAGAGATAGCTCATCTGCTTGACGCGTATCCAGACAGACGAGCCCAGAATCGAAGTCGCCGGTGAATGACTCAACAGGGGGAAGAGAAGGTCCAGACGTTATTCAAAAGGACACAGTATTCCTCCAGATAGTATAATCAATGGACTCTCCAAAAAAAAAGGAACAGTACCAGATCACGACCAACCCAAACCAAGCCGGGTTTCCAAAAGCCAGCCAACGCAACCATGTAACAAATAAAAACATAGAACAAGAAAGGAATATCGCTCAGGTATCTCTCCGCATCACGAACCAAACAAAAACGACATACAGAAGAATCCTCAAATTACCCCCCCTCTTTCTCTATATAGCTCATATCCATCTTCACCCGGTAGCATGCTCATCCCCAAACGGACTCCTCTCCCTACTTGGCCCCGCCCTACTCCCCATACTCGAATCCCTCTGCGACGCTCTCCTCGTCGCCTCCTCAATGACGGCACTCAAGCTCGCCGTGCTGGGCGTAGCCGAGTTCGGCGGCGGGTCTGAGAACGGGCCCTGGTCTTCGTTAAAGTCGACAGCGGGGGAATCGACAATAATGGTCGGGCAGGTGGAGTCACGGACCGTCGAGCCCGAGACGGTGGTAGGAGACTTCAGGATATCAACATCATCGGAGGAAGAGGCAGACAGCGAGGAGGAGGAGGGCTTCGTTGTGGGCTGGCGCGCTTGCTGGGTGATCTTCTTGACGCTGCCGACACGGACGACCATCGCACGAGCAGGTGTCGCGGTGTGGGTGTTGGCGTTGTTGAGGAAGGTCGAGCCAACGCTGAAGGTGGAGTTGGCGGGACTCGGGGGCCGGGCGATGGCGTACTTGTCGTAGTCGACGGCGGGGACGGGGGGCGTGGCGGAGCCGTCGTCCTTGTTGGAGTTGTTGGAACGGGCAGACCGCACGCTCACCATGGCCGGCTTGGCCCGCATGCCGGTCTGGGCCGGGGCGATGACGACATTTTTGCCGTAGATAGTCGAGGCCACGCTGGAGCGAGGAGCATATGAAGTACGGGCATAGGATGTGCGATCCGAGAAGGAGGACAGGCCCGAGTAGGTTGAGTCGCGCAGGTTCGCGGGAATGAAGAAGTGCTGGTCGTCGTTTGGGCTGCTGGCCGCCGAATGTGAGGCTGGGATCGGCGGCACTGGGGGCACGAGAACGGAGTCGTTGGCGGTGGCACGGTTGGTGACGCCAGGAATGTAGGCGATTTGGATGATGTTGGAGGCGCGGGTGAGCACAGTCGAGGCGATAGAGTGAACGGTATGGGTTGAGGCACGGTAATCGCGGCGTTGAGCGTAGGTCTTTTCACCACTGGGGCTCTCTTCTGCTTCCGCCTCCCAAGTTTCATCCTGCACGAGAGGCTGCCTGCGCGTCCTCACGCAGAACCTCCATACGAGATAGGTTATAATAGCAAGGGCAGCAAGGCCACCGACAACACCACCAACGATGGCACCAACATTCGCGCCGCTTTTTTGTGACGGTTGGGCTGGGATGGGCTCAATCGGAACGCAGGTGGCCCTAGGACACTCGAAGCAGTTGGTCGGGGTGATGAACTGGCATTGCGTGTTTCCTGTACATTCAGGGCAGACAAGTTGTACTGATGTGTCGCAGAGGACACACTTTGGTTCTTCGTCACGGGGATAAAGCGGCACTAGCATCAACATGTTAGCTCATCACATTGGCTTGTTGCCAGCGAGAAAATCTCAGGCATTTGGGGGTAACTCACTTGCCGCAGGATGTAATAATGCGGCCATAGTTGGACTATGGCGACCGAGACAGAGATATCCCTTACACCTGGTTCCTCCTGTTTTGCGGGCTGGAACCTAATGCTGATCCTCAGCTCAACGGCAGCGTTTCTGAAACGGTTGCCCAGTCAAAGCATCCACCCTGTCGATCAATGTCCGGCCGGTCTATATCGCTCTGACTCTATGCCTGCTCCCGCGAGCCGACAAAGATGCAGCGATGCAAGGATGCAGCGACCCGAACCAGCCGAGCTCGGCAGCGTTGTTGTTGCACGGGAGCCGGATAGAAAGGGACTGGGGGGACGAGTCGACGCGGATGAAAAACGACGCCGCTGGCGAAGTAGAGGCGGGTGAGTGCTGGCTCGGGGCGAAAAAAAAAAAAAAAGAGGATTCGACGAAGCGAAGCAGACGCAATGTTCGGTCGATCTATCGATCGGTTGAATCAATGCAATCAAGCCGCGACCAGAATCGAAGAAACGAGTGACGGAGGGCGCGAGGCTAGCTCGAGGAAAGAGAAAGAAGGAGAAAGAGAAGGTGAAGGGAAAAGGTAAGTCGGAGAATGAGAATGGAACGTGACGAGGAGCGCAAGCGTCGAGGGAATCAATCAATGGTTAATTGGGGATGAAAATGGAATGGAATCCAACGCAGCAGTGCCAGAGTCCCAGTGCAGTCCAAACCTAGAAGCCAGACAAACAAAATGCCAAAATGCCAGTGCGCCAGGACCCTGCTGTTCGCTTGTTACTTTGTAAAGGGATCGCAAGGATGTATCCTCGGCAGGCAGGGACGCAGGCGGCAAAGTGAAGTTTGCTGCTGGAAAAAAAATAAATAAAAGAATATAGAGCAGGTATATTGTTATCCGTCCTGCCAAAAAGACGGCAGCGGTTGAGATGGTTGAATGTGGGCAATGAGAACGAGAATTGAGAATTGATTGAGTGGATGGGGCATTTGCGGGCAGAGAATGGGAGCAGCGGAAACAGGCAACTGATGAGAGAGGGCCCTGGGCCCAGCGACCCCAGGCTGTGAAGGGACTTTGATGAGATGAGCCCAGCGGGAGCCAGCCCGGGGCCATCCAACTAATCAGAAGGCAGAAAAAGGCCCAGCATCGTCTCCGCTCTTGGTGCTGCTGTGGTGCGGGCATGGTGCTGTGCGCGGCCGGGCCATGCCAGCCCACAGCGCCCACCAACTTGCTGCCGTGCTCTCCTCTTCCCTTTCCAGGGGCAGGGCCAGCTGGCGTAGATGGAAAACGGCGCGAACCCTAGGCTTTTTGGGACGTGAAAAGGGCTGGCCCCACTCCTCCCATTTTGGCGAAACAGCAGCCCAGGGCCATGCTGCGCTATGATTGGTCAAAATGTCCAAAGCCTTGGTGGGGCCAGCCAGGGCTCCGTTTGTGGCACGGCGGGTCAATTTCCCTGGAGGGGGGGAATGCCACCTCGCAATCTGCCAGAGCCCTGCTGCAGGCGATGTTGCTGCGGTCGTCTTGTCCCAATGCCGCCTTTGCCAACGCGCGGCCCGTTTGCATCTCCAATGCCTGTTGTGGAATTGCAACGGGGTGTGTCCAGCGCGTTGTGTTTTTTGATCCTCCGCGAAAAAAAAAAAAAAAAAAAGAACGCGATCACCCGTCAGGTCCCGTTCGTTTCTGCCGGGCTGCTGGGCCGATATCTGCACGCTCTGCCCAAGCCCGCACGTGTTTTAGAGTTTCACCTGGGCGCCATCAGCACGATCCCTCAATCGATGCTTTTGCACCGCCGTCGTGATGGATCACATCGATACACCATATTTAGCTGAATGACAGTACGACTGACATAAGACGAACAGCCAGCAAGGCAACAAATTTGTCAGGGCAGCGACGAATGCTATGCTACTCTGCGGCACTCAAATACTTCGTCTTGAAAATGTGACGGGTGCTTTCAAATTTCAACTTTCTTTATCACCATGGCGTCCTGTAGCTTGCCAGTGTTGCCGCGGGTCCGGATGCTTTTGCATGCAGTGCATTGTGCTGCCAACGACATGCAGCACCAGCAAGCAGCCTGCACTTCCGACTGTTGCAGGCCTTCCGATGCATGCCGATTCCGAGAAGAAGCACCATCACTGACTTTGAAGGGTGTGACCTACGGGCAAAAGATAAGGCTTTGTTTGGACCTTCCAACGACGTTAACTTCGAGTAATCGAGTCGCCTTACTTTTGACACCTAGTGTTCAACGTCTGATCTATGGAGTAGATTGAGATTGGGCATTACCAGGCATAACGAGCTTTGCCCCCTTGGCGATGGCCGTTTGACTTTGAGAACAGCGTCTTCGCCTCTCTTAAACCGAAGCCGTCTTTTTGAGCTGTATTAAAAGCAGCGAGGTATGAAGACGGAAGCTTTTTTTTTTTCTTGCCGCAACACAACAACTTCTCAGCATTTCATGGCAGGTCCTGGCCGTTTTGCGATGAATATGGGGAACTTTGGATGTTGACCCCTGGCCTTGAAGGACTTCTAGAACGGATCGCCGTCGAACGGCATGAGATCACCAAGTTTGTGATACTCCCAGCATCCGTGGTGGTCAAACATCACAGCAGAAGGTGCACATGGTAGGGCAGAGCCCAGGCAGAGCCACGTCTGTGTGCTCGGATGTTGGTGCGGTAGGGACTGTGTGCTCTGACACAGCAGCGAGCAGCGAGCATCGGGACTTTCGAGCTATCTGCGGACATCTTCAGGTTGCAGGATCACTCTAGGTTTTGGAAGAGCCATCACAACAAATGTAATCTTCTCAGGTAGGTAGCTGGTATGTGACCGGCGGGGGAGGGTCCGAACAGCGCTCGGGTTGGTAACAACCTCCGGCCGTTTTCGCCGGCGATCGAACGGAGCCCCTCCTCACGGCGCACTGCGGCAGCAGCAACCATCCTGGATCCATTCCGCATTCTCATTTCAGCCCCTCCATCCACCATCATGGGCTAGTAGAGTTCCATGAATCAACTCAACGCCCAAGCCGTATATCAAGGCCTACCCAGCAGGCCCGCTGTGGCTGGGACTATGGACTATAAAAGAGGGAAGATCACACGTTACTGTAACCATCACAACTGCGATGTGCACCCTGGTGTCCTCTGAGCTCGAGTGCGGAGGACTAAAAAAACAGGAAAAGGCTGATAAGTCTTTACCTTTGTTCTTTTCAAGACTGCATGACGAAAATGCGCGCCGAGGCCCAAGTGGGCAGCAACCCGATTCCTTCTCCTGCTCTTCGAACGAGTCAGGACTTTCAAAAGCTCAAAAGAAGGTTGGCTGGGTCTCCATCGCGCATCTGCATACCGGACTCAGCCTCACGGTGGCGCCAGCACTGCACACGCATGGCATGGCAACTCCACCATCAGCAGCAGCCACTGCGAAAAAAAAGGTCGATGTTTACTCGTGCACGCTGCACAGAGAACGACGCAAGAAGCACCCACGCGTTTGGCTCCACAGTAAGACGTGATCTTGGCGGAGCCCCTACTGAGAAGTAGTAATCTGCTTCTGGGCCCTTCTCGACCGGGACCCTGAATCGAGGGCCAATCGGGAGGTTGAAATATGTGAAGTGTATCCCGGAAGAAGTTTCGTAAGGTGTTGTGAAGTTGTTGTGAAGTAGATGTCAGTGCTTTTGGAGAAAGGCAAGGATGGAAGTTCTTCCAGACATTTTGCTTAGAGGTCGGTAAAACGGCAAAATGGTCATGGAGGACGATGCAAAGTTTCTTGGACGACCGGAATGCGGTGTGCTCCCCGTCCACAGCTTGTCAGCTGTCCCCTCCGCTTTGCATGCCTTTGTACGGTATTGAGGTGTAAGAGAGACGGAGCTCAGGTGCTGGTCGGGTCGGTGTGCTTATACAAGCTCTTCTGAGTGGCCAACTCCCTCTGACTAGCAGCAAGAAGGCTATTTGACCACCTTCGTGGCCTGTTATGAATGCTGGATATCAACCAGCATGAGCATGATACCCATGTGGATAGTTCCGGGCTATGGCTGTATAAATGAAACTGTGGAGACTCGGTATGGACGAATATTGTTTCAGACATCTGGATGCTCTGGGTTACGCGGAGCTCTGGAAAACGGTGAGACACCTCGGGACAAGGTAGAAGTAAGAGCAAAAAGAGCTTTGAGTTTCTCAAGTCCTAAAGAAACCCACTGGGCAGTTGGTATGCGCTGTCTGACTGTTGGTTGAGAGATGAGACAGTGCATGTGCATGTAATGGCTCAATGTCATTGGAACGTTGTCAATCAACCAGCACTGGGCAGCCTCTCGGAGGCAAGAGATTGAGAGCATCAGCTTCAACATTGGGCTCCATCTGGAATGATACGACGGATCGCCAGAGGCAAAAGAGGCGCAAAGGGGGGCGTCGGATCTTTAAAATCTTTACTTCGTATGTCTAAGATCTGAATAATCTCACAGATGCCTATTTTTGCCCTGCCTTAGGGAAGTTATGCTCCCTGGCCTTCGTGTTTGCCCGTCATCAACCCTGGGCATTTTAAGACAGGATCCCCACTGAAACCGAGACGGAACCGTGGATCTGGAGCGTTCCTAAGGCGAAAGCCAAGGGCGACCCAGCAATGCTTGGCGCCCAAGAGCCCAACTCGCCGAAGCTCTAAAAAAATCACCTAAACACAGAAACCATTCGTACAACACAGCAAGCTTGGAGCAAAGAAGCGAACTGAATCGAGCAGCAAGACGTCTGAATCCTGAACGGTGGGCTGCCCGTGGCCAAGCAGTATCCGAGCCATTTCGCAGTCGCGGCCATCCCTGGGCTAGCAGCGCAGGCAGTGAGCAGCACCGGACGACAGTGGAGCCCTCTTCTGGCATCCCTGTCGCTCAGCCACACCCTGGGCACTGGGGCCTGGGGCCTGTATGGACCTCTCGACTTTCTCATTCATAACAAGTCGGGGCAGTCTCCTGAGCTGAACTTTTTTTTTCGAACACCATTTTTGGAGAAAGGAGTCCTCCATCATCTCCTTATCCTCTATTGTTATCATCACCAGGCCAGTTTTTTGGGCTCTGACCGGCATCGTCAAAGGCGACGCTGGTGTGACTTTTTTGTTGTTGGCGATCTTGGCCCGCCGCCGCACTGGTGCATTACAGCGACCTGGAACCTGAGTTCTGAGCTCCCCCACCATCCATCTATCCATCCATCCATCCATCCATCCATCCAGCGAAACTCCAGACCGAAGAGACCAGACTAGACCCAACTCTTGTGGACTCTAACTGTGGCCCAGTCCCAGTGTTTGTGCCTTTACTTCTTTGTTGTAGGTGCAGACCTCTGCAAACTCCGGTTCGCATTTGATACACGGCTGCGGCTAGTTGGCCAGGCTGAAACGTGGGATCGGGTGCCCAGCAGCAGAAGAAAAAAAAAAAAAAACAACACACAACAGCCCAGTTAGACGAAACGAGATTGGACCTGACTTTTGCTGCTGGATCGTGGACGGCTTTGCTGACCCAACATTTGTCCCCCTTCCAGGCCGACAGAGCATCCATTGCTCATTCCCGACGACTGCTCCATCCCTCACGAACATAATAGACTTGACGACGACGACGACGACGACGACGACGACGACGATTACGACTAGACCGAACTTCGAGGGAAACTTTTCAGCGACACCGACCCCCCGACTGCTGTCTACCTGCTCGACACCACATCTTCCTCGCCTTGAAGCGAGTCGTCCGTCAACATGGCTTACCACGGCCAAGGAGACGGCTACGGCCACCAGCTACAGGATCTCCCACCACAACACGGCCAGGTGAGCTTGAAGAGGATTCGGCCTTGAAGGAGACTGCCAGAAAAGGTTGCTAACAACCGGCAAAATAGCACGAAGATGATGTGCAAGCTTCCCTTCTCAACCAGAACCAGCCCTACGACCACGACCGCCTAGGCGCCCACACACCGCCAGACCGCCCTATGTCAGCATACAGCCTTACCGAGACTTATGCTCCCGGCGCGGTGCCCGCCCGTGGTCCTGGTGCTCCTGGTGCCAGTCCGGCCCCCGCGCCGGGCGGCTACGGCCCGGACCCGGGTTACTACCAGCAGGGCGCCGACCCCTACCGCATGTCGACCGTTGATCCCGAGGAGAGCTGGCTGCGCCGCCAGCAGCCCAATGTAGCCCCCGGCGGTGGTCTGAAGCGCTATGCCACCCGTAAGGTCAAGCTCGTGCAAGGCCGTGTCCTGAGTATCGACTACCCCGTCCCCAGCGCCATCCGGAACGCCGTCCAGCAAAAGTACCTTGACCCGGAGGGCAACAACGAGGAGTTCTTCAAGATGCGTTATACTGCGGCCACCTGCGACCCGAACGACTTCACCCTCAAGAACGGTTACGACTTGCGGCCGCGCATGTATAACCGCCACACCGAGCTGCTGATCGCCATCACCTACTACAACGAAGACAAGGTGCTGCTTTCACGCACGCTGCACGGTGTCATGCAGAACATCCGAGATATTGTCAACCTGAAGAAGTCGTCCTTCTGGAACCGCGGTGGCCCGGCCTGGCAGAAGATCGTCGTGTGCATGATCTTTGACGGTCTCGAAAAGGCCGACAAGAACGTGCTCGACGTGCTGGCCACCATTGGTGTGTACCAGGATGGTGTCATCAAGAAGGCCGTCGACGGCCAGGAGACCGTTGCCCACATCTTCGAGTACACGACGCAGCTGTCGGTCACACCGAACCATCAGCTCATCCGCCCGATCGACGACAGCCCGTCGACGCTGCCGCCTGTGCAAATGATTTTCTGCCTGAAGCAGAAGAACAGCAAGAAGATCAACTCGCACCGCTGGCTGTTCAATGCCTTTGGTCGCATCCTCAACCCCGAGGTGTGCATTCTGCTCGACGCCGGCACTAAGCCCGGCCCGCGCTCGCTGCTCGCCCTGTGGGAGGCCTTCTACAACGACAAGGATTTGGGCGGTGCTTGTGGTGAAATCCACGCCATGCTTGGCAAGGGCGGCAAGAAGCTGCTCAACCCGCTGGTTGCGGTGCAGAACTTCGAGTACAAGATTTCCAACATCTTGGACAAGCCTCTGGAGAGCGCCTTCGGTTACGTTAGCGTGTTGCCGGGTGCCTTCTCGGCCTACCGGTTCCGCGCCATCATGGGCCGGCCGCTTGAGCAGTACTTCCACGGTGACCACACCCTGTCCAAGATCCTCGGCAAGAAGGGTATCGAGGGCATGAACATCTTCAAGAAGAACATGTTCTTGGCCGAGGACCGCATTCTCTGCTTCGAGCTTGTCGCCAAGGCTGGTCAGAAGTGGCATCTGAGCTATGTTAAGGCGGCTAAGGGTGAGACTGATGTGCCCGAGGGTGCTCCCGAGTTCATCAGCCAGCGTCGTCGTTGGCTCAACGGTTCGTTCGCCGCCTCGCTCTACTCGCTCATGCACTTCGGCCGCATGTACAAGAGCGGCCACAACATTGTGCGCATGATCTTTTTCCACGTCCAGCTCATCTACAACGTCCTCAACGTCATCTTCACCTGGTTCTCGCTCGCTTCCTACTGGCTTACTACCTCCGTCATCATGGACCTCGTCGGCACGCCTGTTCCCGCTTCATCCAACTCGGCTGAGCATCACGGCTGGCCCTTCGGTGACGTCGTCACCCCGTTCTTCAACGCCGTCCTCAAGTATGTGTACCTGGCTTTTGTGATCTTACAGTTCATTCTTGCCCTGGGTAACCGCCCCAAGGGCTCGAAGTGGAGCTACATTACGTCCTTCATCGTCTTCGCCATCATCCAGGGCTACATCATTATCCTGTCCATCTACCTGGTCGTGCGCGCCTTCCAAACTCCTATCGAGGACCAGATCAACTTGGACAATGCGGGCGACGCGTTACAGTCGCTATTTGCGGGCGACGGCGCAGCCGGTGTCATTCTGCTTGCCCTCATCACCATCTACGGCCTCTACTTCCTCGCCTCTTTCCTGTACCTCGACCCGTGGCACATGTTCCACTCCTTCCCGCACTACATGCTGCTCATGTCGACGTACATCAACATTCTGATGGTGTATGCCTTCAACAACTGGCACGACGTGTCGTGGGGTACGAAGGGTGCCGACAAGAATGACGCGATCCCGTCGGTCACGACGACCAAGGGCGAGAAGGAGAATGAAAAAGTGATTGAGGAAATTGAGAAGCCTCAGGAGGATATCGACCAGCTGTTTGAGCAGACCGTGCGGAGGGCTTTGGCTCCGTTCAAGGAGGAGGAGAAGCCCGAGTTTAAGGAGCTCGAGGATGAATATAAGAGCTTCCGTACGATGCTGGTGGTGAGCTGGCTGTTTTCGAATTGTTTGCTGTCGGTCATTATCACGAGCGACAACTTTAATTCGTTTGGTATTGGGGTGAGTACTCTTCCCGATTTAAAACTGTTGAAACCTGAGTCGGGGACTAACGAGGGAAACAGCAAAACCCGTCGCAACGCACGGCTTGGTTCTTCAAGTTCCTGCTGTTTGCCACGGCCGGCCTTTCGCTCGTCCGCTTCATTGGTTTCCTGTGGTTCCTGGGCAAGACTGGTATAATGTGCTGCTTTGCCCGGCGCTAAACCCAGAAAGTATCCGAGAGCTGGACGATGGGAGTGGGTTGGAGGAGAAAGGGAGAGGGAAATGGCAATTGGTTGGATGGAGGAAGGGAAGGGAGAATGTATGTCTGGAAAGAAAACTGAGAGGACAAGCCATGCAAGGCAAACAGGCAAGCGATGGGTTTTCATCATATCGGCAAACGTCGTTTCTTCTCTATCTACCTATCCTACCTTACCTCTCTCTCGATCTCTCTCCACGTCTATGTCCATCGCCATCATTTCTAACAATCATGCATGCTAATACGTAACCTTTTAAGTACCTAACTGGGGAACGTTCTACTACTGCTTTATGTAGGTGGATGTTGGCTGGTTCTGCAGTACAGTACAGGATAACAGGATACCTACCTACTTACACGCATCTCCTGTCAGCTTCTTCTTTTTTTTTTTTTTCCGTCGTGAGGAGAGCAGGGCAAAACAAAATTAGTGAGATAGTGAATGGATCATAGGTCTCGGGTTTAATAATCTCTTTCTCCTTTTTTTGTGTCCCTTAAGTTTTGGTCGTTGCTCTTTTCTAAGACTACTTGACGTGGGTAATATAGGGCAAGCTTTGCTGGGGGTTCATGGCAAACTTGTCCTCCAATATTATGGTGAGTTTGATGGGGACATTTCTCTTCAGAGATTCGAGTCTAAGCAGGCAAATATGTGTGTTAAACCTGAAAAATTCAAGGGGTCGTCGAGCTCCCTGGACCCAGGCGATATGACGGCTTGTCTTTCGGAAATGAACTTGTACTACCCTTGTCCTCAGGTGGCTAAGTCCCTAAGTCCCTATGAATGGATCAAAAAATTGAGGGAAAAGAGCCTAGCCATATACAAGCACCAGAAAAATCTTATTGTCGAGGTTGTCCTCACTGTTCAGGAGTCGACTTGGTCAACATCAGGAGGGAAAAGTGAGGACTTAGGGAGGGAGTTTTCTCCGCTATCGTCCATCTATCTGCCCGGTATCTGTAAATGAGAGAGAATCAGTTACATCATACTCTACCATGATAGCAAACTCCTCAATGCCACATCATATGATTACAATCATGAAACGCAAAACCTCACAAAGTTTTCCAATCCCCATTCTGTTTCGCCTTGTCGTCATGTCTTGGCATCGTCAGCCTGGGGCCGATCGAGCATAGTAGGTTTAGCAACACCAAACAGTGTCCCGCCACATAGGGACTCCACGGGGGCTGGCTTGGCGTGCCCGCTTTGCTTGGCTGCCTGCTTAGCTTGGCTTGCCTGCCGCTCCCCTCGGTCGGCCAGTGACTTCAGGGACGGACGTTGGGCGCGCGTGTCTGTCACCTGCAAAGACCAAAATCGTCCTCACCTGCCGCTTTTTTCTTCACGGTCACCTCTTTTAAGACGCTGTTCGTATAGAACCTTTCCGTCTGCTCTCTAGAAGATACCCTCTCCCCCCGCTCAACACAAAGAACATCGGGTTTCAAATCTCCGAACTCGATAGGAGAGAAATACCCCACTTTCATTTTCTCGAAAACCGCGATTCCTGATATAGAGGCTACCTTGAAGCAAAAGAGGGCATTCACTTTGTCGTTTGGCCGGCTTAGACGATCGAGAGCTTTTGGCGCTTTAAATCCTTTTGACTTTTCAGTCTTCTTTCTACAACCGAAACGGGTCCTGGCGGGGTGACGGCCTAACGTCCCACAGTTCGCGAAGATGCTGAAGATATGGTCTATGGTGTGTACCTTACCTGGCATGAAGACTACGCACAGAAGGGAGGTGCTGACCGACGCAGAAAAAAGAGCAGCAGAAGGCTGAGAACGGCGGGGAAGCGGCCGCGGGGCAGCCCAAGAAGAAGAAGGTGACGGCAGCGCAATTACGGGTGCAGAAGGGCAAGCTTCCTCCCCTCCCCTACTGATTATGACTTCAGGATGCTGATGTCCCAGACCTCTCCGAACTCTCCCTCGGCTCAACCATGACCACGGAATTCCCCGACCCCGACGACATCCTCAACTTCATCCTGTACATCACGCCCGACGAGGGCATGTACAAAGGCGGAAAATTCAGCTTCACCTTCCACATCACACCCGCGTTTCCGCACGAGCCGCCCAAGGTGCAGTGCCGCGAAAAGATTTACCACCCTAACATCGACCTCGAGGGTAAGGTGTGCCTGAATATTTTGCGCGAGGACTGGAAGCCAGTCCTGAACCTCAACGCGGTGATTGTGGGTTTGCAGTTCCTATTCCTCGAGCCGAACGCGAGTGATCCGCTCAATAAGGAGGCCGCGGAGGACCTGAGGAATAACAGGGAGGGGTTTAAGCGGAATGTTAAGATTGCTATGAGTGGGGGGACCATTCGGGGGGAGACGTATGATCGGGTGTTGGTTGCTTAGAGGCGGGAGCAGGGAGGAGGGGATAAGCATAGGGACAGGCAGTACATGGCGAACAGGAGTATTTCCTTGATTGCTTGGGTTTTGCACGCAGGGCGTCTCTTTAGTCATATCCTACTCACAACTTGTGCCTTCTCGTCGGCTGGTATAGACGCAGGCGATTCGGCTTGAAACATCTCGGTGGTTTTGTCCCATGGTAGTTTGGATTCTGTTAGTTTTTTTTTTTTTTTTTTTTGTGTGTGTGTTCCAGCGGAGGTTTCGGGGCATCGTCCTTACAGATATGTGGTCAAGCCGAGATCCAACTTCGGGTTAGAAGATGCTACTCTGCAACATTGGATAGACTCTATTGTCTGGACCAGATACACACCTTTGACATCGGATCGAACACATGGAAGATGGAATCCAACCTAAGCAAAGAGCAAAGCCTCTCTTGAATGGCACACGTCATCACCGCCTAGCCAATATTCGATCCGATGTTCGCCCAATACGCCGTTGATGGGCAATTCGAGACAGTCATCCCGGGATCAGGAATCCATCATGCCATTCTCAGAATGCCACCGGCCGGTCGGAGTGAGTCAACGGCAGCGGCTCGGAGCAACTAGGCCGAAAGCGCAGCCCGAAAGGGTCCGGCAGCGGCAAGTTGGGTCTCTGTAGGTGATCGGACACGCGGCCCACTTATCTCCGGGGACCTAGGGGGGGGGGGAACCACGGGCCAACTGGGTGCGGAGCAAGACGGTGCGCTGCGGCAGGTTCTGCTCGGGGAGGGGATCCCTGGAGCAGCGGCGGACAGTGATGATGTCTGCACTAGCACTTTGCTGTGTGGTCTGTGGTGGATGGAACTTGGATGTCCCCGTCCACAGGTGCTGATGTCGCTGTGATGTTGCAGCGGCCCAGCGTCGCAGCCAGCGAAACGCAGCAGTGTAAAGGCCAGACAGGCCCCACCGACTCCTTTTGGCTTCCGTCGACCCCCTGCCTGCCCCAGATTTTTCGCAGCCAATTGGAGTCATCAACTGTCAGCGGTCCCACCAACGCGCCCCACAGGGCAAGCACGCCAGTGGCTGCTCTGGCCCCGAAGTCGGTGCTGGCAGCCCAGTTAGGTGGTTGACAGCAAAAATTCTGACTCGCCAGCTCCGATCAGAGTAGAGAGCAGGGAAAATTGTTTTGAGCAGAGCAGCACGCAACAGTGACTCCCCCAGTCTCCCCATAAAGCTGTTTGCCCGTCGTCCGGATTTCTGGGAGAGTTTCCCGTTTTTAGCTCTCTTCTTTTTCCCCTTTCCCCTTCATTTCGACCTCATCCCATCCATCCCAACCCACAAACTCCCCCTCCTAGCCCCTCCCCCTCTCTTAATTTAATACCCTTCAGTCACAATGGCCTCCCGTGGCTTCTCCAAGGCTCTGCGCTCACAGGTAGCGCGCCAATTGGCCGCCCCGGCCCAGAAGCGTACCTTCATTGCTGCTGCCGGCCTCGTGCGTGCTTCGGCGGTTGCTGCCCGCGCGACGGCGGCTGCCCCGGCGCCTCGGACGCAGGTGCGCGGCGTCAAGACGATCGACTTTGCCGGCCAGAAGGAGGAGGTTTGGGAGCGCTCCGACTGGCCGCAGGAGAAGCTTCTTGTGAGTGAGAGCTGCTGAACTTGATGTGAATGAGAGGAGCTGACATCCCCCAAGGAGTACTTCAAGAACGACACGTTCGCGCTGATCGGCTACGGCTCGCAGGGCCACGGCCAAGGTCTCAACCTGCGCGACAACGGCCTCAACGTTATCGTCGGCGTGCGCAAGGACGGCAAGTCGTGGCAGGACGCCATCCAGGACGGCTGGGTCCCCGGCAAGAACCTGTTTGAGGTGGACGAGGCTATCAAGCGCGGCACCATCGTCATGAACCTGCTCAGTGACGCCGCCCAGAGCGAGACCTGGCCTCATATCAAGCCGCTCATCACCAAGGGCAAGGTGCGTACTGCGAAGAGCGAGAGCATCTGGTCAATGCTAACCTGAGGTAGACCCTCTACTTCTCCCACGGCTTCTCGCCCGTCTTCAAGGACCTCACCAAGGTCGAGGTTCCCGCCGACGTCGACGTCATCCTCGTGGCCCCCAAGGGCTCGGGCCGCACCGTTCGTTCGCTCTTCCGCGAGGGCCGCGGCATCAACTCGTCCTTCGCCGTCTACCAGGACGTCAGCGGCAAGGCCAAGGAGAAGGCCATCGCCATCGGCGTGGCCATTGGCTCGGGCTACCTGTACGAGACGACCTTCGAAAAGGAGGTCTACTCCGACCTGTACGGCGAGCGCGGCTGCCTGATGGGCGGCATTCACGGCATGTTCCTGGCGCAGTACGAGGTGCTGCGCGAGCGCGGCCACTCCCCCAGCGAGGCCTTCAACGAGACGGTCGAGGAGGCCACCCAGTCGCTCTACCCGCTCATCGGCGCCAACGGCATGGACTGGATGTTCGAGGCCTGCTCGACCACCGCCCGCCGCGGCGCCATCGACTGGACGCCGCGCTTCAAGGACGCCCTCAAGCCCGTCTTTAACCAGCTCTACGACTCGGTTAAGAATGGTGATGAGACTCGCCGCGCGCTCGAGTACAACTCGCAGCCTGATTACCGCGAGAAGTATGAGAAGGAGATGGAGGAGATCCGCAACCTTGAGATCTGGCGCGCCGGCAAGGCGGTGCGGTACGTTTTTCCCCCCTCCCCCCCCCCCGTTTCCCCTCCCCCTTTTCCTCCCTTCTGCCCAGCCTGAATTTTACTTATTGCCCTATTGCATTAACCGTGACATATGCTGACTGCTTACAGCGCTCTCCGGCCCGAGAACCAAAAGTAAGGTGGCGTTCGGGGATGGGACGCTCGGGACAGTTTGAGTCGGTTTTACAGGTTTGGGCGCTGAGAGCGCCTGCACCACGGATACCCCGGGCAGGAAAAAAAACGGTTTGAAAATGTTTTATAGTTGTACTGTACATATAAATGGGATGGGCGGTTTGGTCACCAGTCGCTGCTCTACATGTATAGTGGTCATCGGTGCTGGCGACGACTTGGTGTTTGATGATGGCTGGTCAGGACAACCTTGTCCCCCGGGTTGACTCATAAACCTGGGTTCTTTCCATCGACACCCCCTGAGTCTGTCATCCCCTATCTTCTCCTCGATCCATGTCCTCATGCTCAACATCGCCAAGATGTCTTTGCCATCACGAGGGCCATCATACTTCTTTACCTGGCCTGAGAGTCAGGGCCATCTCATTATCCTAATGCCTGGCTAGCTGTCCCGTCACTCAGGTTTCAGGCTCGAACTAATTCACCAACAGCATACTTGAAGACTGCCTGCTGAATCCCTTATTCTCAGGCCGGAGATGTCGTCAAGACGGCAGATCACTGTTAAATCAGTCCTATGGTACGTACCCAGGGACTTTTGTTGGTAAGTCTAACTTTCCTAACCGTTATAACACTTGATGTTGAATCTTGCTTAGTTATTGCAGCCGGGTTTGTCCCGTTCCGATATGTTAAGGTTATTAACAGAGTCATGGCCAATTGTCAGGGACAGAGCTTGCATTCATGACGATATCAATACCCGTAAACATGGTCATATTGCACCTTTCTTGGCTGAACTCGGCGGTCATTTATACTTCCTTTTCCTTCGAGCATGATCAGACACAAAGTCCTGTCCCGAATGATTTTATCTTCTAACAGGTTGACCTGTATGCATTAAATCGTTGTCATCTTCCCTGAGCCGAAAACTCAACATAACCCATCCATCCTCGGCAATCCTCTTATCGGTTCCCCCTCATATCCCATCCTCCCACACCCTTTGCCGTCCCCTCCCCCCCCCCCAAAAAAAAAATTCAATCCTCCTCCTTCAATAACTCTCCTACCTTCGCCAAATCAACATTTCCCCCCGTCAAAACAACCCCCAGATCCCATCCCCTCTCTCCCCCCTCCAACTCAACCATCTTCCGAAACTCCTCATTAAATAGCACAACCGCAACCCCCACAACCGCACTCGGCTCGACCACCACCTTAAGCCTCTCCCACACCAGCCGCATCGCCCTCTTAATCTCCTTTTCACCGACCCGGTAAATATCCCGTACCAATTTATGTCTGTAGATCAATTCCCACGGAATTTCTCCCACTGGTGTGCGCAGTCCGTCAGCGATTGTTGAGCTCTTGACAGTTGTAATTCTTTCGCCTGACCCGTGAAAAGCGCGGTAGCCGTCGTCTGCGCCTTGGAAGGAGGGTTCCGCACCGAAGACGTGGATTGGCCCGGGGCGGGGAGGGTTGCTGCTGGAAGGATGAGAGCAGGCTAGGGCGGTGCCAGAGAGGAGGCCGCCTCCGCCGAGGGGGTGATGATCGCGTGGGGTTGGAGGGACGGGGAGAGTTGCTGAAGGAGTTCGTAGGCGACTGTGGACTGACCGAGGATGGTGAGGGGGTGATTGTAGGGGGGGATTAGCCTTGCCGTAGCTGTGCCTGTGGCTGTGGCCTTCTTTGGTTGTGTCTTCTTATCCTGCTGGGAAGCACCAGACTCTGCTGTAGAGTCAGGGGTAAAGCTATAGTTGGCCTCCTGAGCCTCAGGAGCTTCTCCATTCAGCCGGGCGAGAATTTCGGCAGTGACTTTCTCCCGTTCGGCGGCTGTGGGACCGGAGAAGATCACGTTTGCGCCGAGGGCTTTTGTGGCGGCTACTTTAACGGGGTTGGCGTTTGAAGGCATGATGATATGTGCTGGGATGCCGGCCTCGCGGGCTGCGAGGGCTACCGCTTGGGCGTGGTTCCCTAGGGTTATGTCAGTTCTCCTTCGAGTTCGCAAGGCTCAGCCAATATCCAAAGTCAAAGTAGGAAGACTCCTGATAACCTCACCAGACTTGAGCCCCCTCCCCCCCCCCCCAACCCAAAAAAAAAAAAAAATCAAGGTCTCAATGAACCTCAAATTCACCCGAAAGACGAACACATACCCGAACTATGCGTAACAACCCCCTTCTCCCGTCCCCCATTGTCCAACCACCCCTCCTCCCTTTTGAGTCTCTCCACAGCATGGAACGCTCCCCGTGCCTTAAATGCCCCGATTCTCTGAAAGTTCTCGCACTTGAAATACAGCCGGATCTTAGGCTTTGCAGGCACGTGTGACGGATCAGCCCATTCCGTGCCGGCCAGTTCCTCGGGCGTGCGGGGCGTTGAGGCGTACTCGTTGAGGGAGGTGCTAGTGAGAACGGGGGTTTGGTGGATGTGAGGTTTGATGAGGGCATAGGTTTCGGGGATGGAGGCGTATACTAAGGGAATGTCATGTCCCCAATCAGCGGACGTCATTTTGGTGAATCGCGATAGCTTTAAAAGTTGGCTGTCAAAAGGTGAAGAAAACGTCGGTTGAGAAGAGCAATGAACGAGTAGAAGTTGAGGAATGAATGCTATGTTAAAGCCGAGGCTTGTTTCGCGGGGTTAGAGAGTTTTCGTAGATATTTGTCTCAATTGAGGATGAAGTTCGAAGAAACACTTTGCGTTTGCTTTGCTTTCGAGAAACTTTCAGGCTTGGGTCAACTTCCCGACATCAATGCCCTCCTTTCTGGAAATACAAAAATGTAGTCAATTTCTAATCCAAATAATGTCATTGTCCAACAATTCCCCCCTTCCCCCCCTCCAACCAAAAAAAAAAAAAAAAGCCCGATAACGCAAGCCAAGGCTCTCTCTGGCGACATCAACCACGAGGCGGGGCTGTCGGCGCGGCGCCATCGTCCTCCGACGTCTCTGAATGCAAGGCGCCGTTATTTGGGTGACATTGCATGTTTACCTGTTTGAGCTTCTATGTCAAATACACTGAAATGTTGTCTCCATCATGACATGGACTGAAGGACGCACAGTGACAAAGAGCCCCTAAAAACCCTTAGTTTCTTCTTGGCCCGGGTCCTGTCAATGCGTATGCTTGTATCTACTAAGCTAACAAAAGCAACGTCATCGTTAACCCTCAGCTACCCAGCGCTGACGTACCGTTTCTAGCCGGCCCGGACGTAACGCTCGGCCGGCCGTTTTCTCCGCCAGCACGACCCCAGCAAGCCGGCTGAGGCCGGCTAGGGCCGGAGAAGAGTGGGCCGCCATGCAACCTGCAGAGTCCAGACAGGTCGGTCGTCCCTGGATTCGCCTCGACTGGTTAAGCTGCTGGGATGGCATGGCATGCACAATCAGACTGGCTGGCTAGTTGTCTTGCGGCCAAAGGTAAGTGTGCAGTGATGACACGGCGGCGCATGGCAGCAGGGGAGTGAATCCTAGATAGAGATGGACGACATGTCGGTAGTCTAGATGATGTCGGAGGATTGGGGATGGGGCAGATAGGGAAATGCGAAGTAGGGGTTCGTGTAAGTGGCCTTCTGAAAAGTCGAGAGTAAGACAATAGAGCCTCGAAGAAGACGACAACAACAAGAGCACATCCACATCACTACCTCTCTCATAATGGCCTGAAGAGAGAACAATCCCGTTGTCTTCTTCGACACACCGCTACACGCCCATCAACATAAGCACATGATACGTTCATCCAACAGCCAACAGGATCGCCGACAACCGACATCATGTGCCCGTCGATGACAAAGAGAAACTCCCAGAACACCCAGCTCGGCTGCTGTGCGATCCCAAAACCCAGCCGGCAGGGGAGCAGGGCCGGAGCTCCACGAGGAGGCCGGAATGAGCTACTGGCAAGGCCGGAATAGATTCCGGCCTTTGTCTATATAGACGGGCCTCGGACCTGGGAAGGGGGTCTGTGAGCTTGCTTTGTCTGCAGTGCTTAGACGCATATCAAGATTCATGTTCAGATAGGAGCGAGAGCCTGATCACGGATCCTGGATCTGGGCGCTGACCTTTTGTGGTTGAGGCTGATCTCATCTCATCTCATCCCCCTTTCACAACATAATTGGGAACACTCATCGACATCCATCCATCTCACTCACCAAAGCTCATCTCATCCCTCTCCCACCATCCTGGCAAAACATTACCTCAACACCACAATGGGTTCCGTAACCCCCTCTTTCCCGGTTTTGACAGACCCCCGTCCCGAAGATCACTCCCTCCCCGCCTTCATGGTCTCCACGACCCGGGGCTTCCTCCCCCGCGCAGACCCCATCGTCACCCTCCCCCCCGAATTCTCCGCCCTTGAATCCCTCCTCCAGCGCATGCCAATCCGCACCGCCTCGGGCGAGCCGGGTCTTCTTGCACAGGGAAAATTCGGGGAGGCAGTCGAGACCGAGTTGCCGGACTTGACTGAGGAAGTAGAGAAGTATAAGCATGATCTTCCGATGGTGAATGCCCTGTATAGGGACTATAGTTTCGTGGCGAGTGCCTATCTGCTTGAGCCCTGTCATCTAAGGTGGTTGAAAGGAGAGGGGTATGGGTTGGGAAGGGAGAGGTTGCCTAGGCAGGTGGCTAGGCCTATTTGGAAGTGTGCTGAGATGTGAGTCTATTTGTCTGTTGTTTTTTTTTTAAAAAAAAAAAAAATAAATTCTCTCCCCCTCCTCCTCCCCCCCCCCTTTCCCGTCATCTTGCCGAAAACTTGTAACTTTTTTACTAACTGATGTTCCCAGCTGCAAATTCCAACCCTTCATGGAATACGCAGGCTCCTATGCCCTTTACAACTACCGCCTGGTTGACCCCTCGCTCGGCCTCTCGGATCCCACCAACGTCCGCCTGATCCGCGCCTTCGAGCACGGCCTGGACCCCTCCTCCTCCGAAGCAGGCTTCGTATTAGTCCACATCGAAATGGCGAAGCACTCCGGCCTGCTGGTCTCTGCCGCGCTGGACGCGCTCGCAGCCTGCTCCTCCCAGCCTCCCTCGCGCACACAGCTCAACACTGCCCTGTCCAACATGGAATCAGCCCTCAAGACGATCAACGCGGCGATGGAGACCATGTGGGCTCGTTCGAAGCCGATGGAGTATACCTCCTTCAGGACCTTCATTTTCGGCATCACCTCGCAACCAATGTTCCCCAACGGGGTAATCTACGAAGGCGTGGACGAGTTCGAGGGCAAGCCTCAACGCTTCCGCGGCGAGTCTGGCGCAAACGACAGCATGGTTCCCCTCGTCGACAATCTGCTAGGTGTAGAAATGCCCGACACCCCTCTGACCGCCATCCTGAAGGACTTCCGCCGGTACAGACCGAGCAACCACCGCGAGTTCCTCGAGTGGGTTAAAGACGCAGCCGAGACCGCCAACCTCAAGAAGTGGGCTCTCGAGACGGATTCGGAGGAGGGATACCTCGAGACGCGCGCCCTGTGGCTGAAGGTGTTGCACCAAATCCGCGATTTTAGGTGGCGACATTGGTGCTTTGCACGGGAGTATATCATCAAGAGGACGATGCATCCCACTGCGACGGGCGGTAGTCCGATTGTGACGTGGCTGCCGAATCAGCTAGGGGCAGTGTTGGATGAGATGGAGAGGTTATATGGGAAATTTGGGGGCGAGGAGGCGAAACTGGGGGCGGAGGTGGATGGGATTATGGATTTAGTCAGACGGCAGAGGGATATGCTTGCCAAGGAGGTGAGGAAGTTTTGTGAGGAGAGGGGGGTTAAGGAGTAGGCGGCTCCTGTGCTTGGAGGATGGGAGGATGTTAGGCTGGATGAGTTAAGTGTTATTGGAGGGTTGGGTCACGGTTGATGTATTGTTGGCTTTGGGTGATGAATGGATTGATGTTGTCTTTTCATGTAGTCTTTGTTGTTGCACTTGGGTCGTGATGAGAACGATGTCTTCATTGCTGTTGTATCCGCATTACTGACTGCTATCTTTCTCTCTCTCTCTCTCTCTCTTCTTTTCTTTTTTTTTTTTTTCGTGTATCGCTGCCGTCATGATCTATCATCTCGTTATTTCGTCTCTCCTGCATTACCATTACTTTCATATCATGATCGTATATACGACTTCTTATAATATATATATATATTCTTCTCCCCCCTTACCCTCCCCTTAACTTTCACATCCCCATGATTACTCCTATCATCCCCAGTAACCCCCCAAACCCCAAGAAGCTCAGTTTGACCCTAAATATCGACGCCTCGCTCGAACTAGGCTCAATCTTCTCCACAATCCCTCCTCCAGTCGGCTGAGCCCCCTCTTCCACCGCCGTACAGCTCTCTCTGCCACACCTATAACCCCTCGGACAGCACCCCTCCCTTTCTCCCTCCTCCGCAGAGCACATGTACCATCCCGCAGCACATACTCTTTCTCCCTTTCCACTCCCATTGCCAGGGTTAGAGTTAGACGTCGGTTCCGGTGCAATAATCGTGACCAGCCCAGCCCCGTTGATGATGGTTGTTTGGGAGCTAAAAGGGGGGCACGATGCGGGTGCACACGCCCGGCCGGAGGGACAGCAGCCGCCGCCGAGGGCGGCTGAGCAGGGGTAGAATCCGGTTGGGCAGAATTCATCATCATTATCACTATCATCCCCCGCCGTGGTGCTGGAAGGTCGGGAGGGGGTCGTTGAGTGAGGAGAGGAAGAGGAAGAAGGTAAAGAGGTAGGTCGAAACGGTGCTCCAGCTGAGTCGGGCAGAGTGGTCATGCTGGTAATTGTGCTGGTGGGGATTGTGGAGGTTGAAGTGGTGGTTAGGGTTATTGTGGATTGGCTTGGGACGCCTATAGCATGATCAGTCAGCATCCATCCTTCATACCTAGCTATTACCATTGCATCAATCTCGATTATATGCCCAACCAGACGGAGCTGACCACCAAGCTGGGGGGAGCCTGCAGAGCAGGGAACCTCAACTTAGGGAAGAGAGGGAAAAAAAAAAAGAAAAAGAGAGAGAGAGAAAGAAAAACGGGGGGTGGGGGAGGGGAAAGTTGAGACTTACACCCCACGCCGGCACACTCCCACCCCCTAAAACAACACCCTCCCCCTAATTCACTTGGACACTCTGTTCCGCCCTCCCCGCACTCGTCAACCCCGCCTCCGCACCTCGCCCCCTCGGGACAGCACCCAACCGGCCCTAATCCAGTATCAGGCACCACCATACATGTCGTGCCCTCCCAGCAACACGAGTTGGGGTAGCCTATCGCGTCGCAGGAGTGGGTGTCAGAGGGGCAGGCCCATTGGCGTTCTTGTAAGGATCGACGCAGTGGGTTGGGGGAGATATCGCGCAGAAGATGGGGGGCGAACGGGGCGAGGGGAGAGATTTGGTCGAGGTTGAGGGAAGAGATGTTGTGCCATGTCCGGGAGCGCGCCGCCAGGAAGATGCGACTATCATCGTTGTCGGTGTCCGGGAAGGCGACATAATGGGGATAGAACTTTGCTCCTTGGTCCGGGGGCATTTTCTTAATCGCAGTCGGCATAACGTTACGCGGGCGTGGTTTGTTTTGATTGGTCGCTTGGGCAACAGAAGTCGCCCCTAGGAGGAGCAGCATTGAGGGAGGGTGCATTGTTGATGGTAGTTGATAATCAAGTGACTGTTTCGATTTGATTGATCGTTGAGAAGGCGATTCCCGACAGGTTGGTCCGGGTCAGGGACTCGGATGATGACGCGGTGGCGCGGGGCTGTATGTAACGCGAGCGGATAGTTTGTTTAAGCCTCAACCTCGCGCAAAGTTAATCTTTTCTTTTAACAATTAAGCGATCGCTCGATCAGGAGACATCAATTCCTCGTTGCGACTTCGCAAAAGTCGATGTTGTGAGCAGAGCACTGTTTAAGCGCTGACGATGGTTGATTGAGAGAAAGTTGGCGGCGGGTAAAATGCGATCGCGCGACGAGATCCTTGTTGACGAGTTGCTTGGTTGGGATACGAAGAAAACAAGGCGCGCGATTGGCCGGGTGATAGGTGGGGCGCTCCAATGGAGGGTTGGTCAAGGGGAAGGAAAAGAGGGAAAATTCCCAAAAGAAAGAGGCAGAAAACTCCAAAACTTGATTTGATGAATGAAAGAGAGAGAGAGGGAGGGAGGGAGGGAGGGAGGGAGAAAGGATGGTTTGAGATGAAAGGAAAGAGTGAGGAAAGTCAATCGGAAAGTTGCGGTTAGATAATTGGAAAAAAAAAAAAAAAAAGGTAGCTCCAAGTATTCAATGGGTTGGTGATGGGAGAACTCGGGGAAAGCATTGACAGAAACTTTTTTTTTTTTAAAAAAAAAGATGGAAAAGGGGAAACTGACAATTAACTGATGTCGAAAGAAACAACGAGATTCAGAGAACAGAGTGATCTCAAGATAAGAAAGCAATTTCATTCCCAGCCCATTCCATTTACAATACAAACCTTTTTAAAACATAATATGAACCCATGCCATCTATCCAAACCCATAAACTACACACTCTTTATACACTGTAATATCTCATCATACATCCCATCCCCATATCGAACCCAATCCTACACTCTGATCGCTCACACACACTCTCTTATCCCTCATCCCACATCACACATCTCCCCCTCAAACCCATCACCAACCACTCCTCCCTACCAAAGCTCCCCAGATCCAGAACTACCCTCCTTTGCCTTAAGAACACCTCCCATAAAGGCCTCCACCACCAACCCCGCCGCAACCCCGACATTTAAGCTCTCGACTCCCACCCTCTGTGCCGCCCCCCCTCCCCCCGGCACAGCAACCTCATAATCCGCCTTCTTGACCGTCGCCCTCTCCAATCCTTCCCCTTCACTCCCCAACACCAGGACACACCCTCCCTTCCTCAGCGGCTCCTCCCTCCGGACGTCATCTAGATCCCAATGCCGTCTATTTTTCCTAACGCTTGGGTCGCGAGCGCATGCCGCGAAGACGGTCCACCCGTTTTGTCTGGTGGTTGTGAGGAAGTGTGGTAACGAGGGGATTATGAACAGCGGGAGGGACTCGGCTGCGCCCGAGGAGGCCTTGAGGGTTACTGGGGAGAGGGGCGCTGAACCATGTCGGGTTATGCCGACTGCTGAGGCGCCCAGAAAGAGGGAGGTACGCAGGATGGAGCCGAGGTTGCCGGGGTCCAAGATGCGGTCGAGGATAAGGATGAGAGGGTTGTAACCTGGGATTAGGGGGGAGGGGAGTGGAAGGGAAGGGGAGGTTCCATTGATGGAGGCATCTTCAGCGGACTGGTGGTCTAGGGTCACGGGGATTTCCGTGATGGGCTTGGGGACGCCGTCCTCGGACGAGGGGAGTGGGCCGAGGGCAGTGACGGGGGGCTGCGGCAGCGGAGACGCCTCCAAAACGAAGCCGTTGTGTGGCCTGCCCTCGGCCATCTTATCCATGAGTCGCTTGTCGGCGTCGGAGAGGATGGTGACGGGGACACCCTTAGAGCGGGCCAGGGCAAGCATGGCGCGGGAACCCGACGGGTCTTTGCGCTGGTGCAAGTCGGTCATATAGAGGTGGTAGAGCTTGCGGCGGGCGGAGAGCAGGGCGGCTTCGACGACGGATTTGCCGTAGAGGAATTGTGAGGCGGCCGTGGTATAGGGGATCGAGAGGGGGAAGCGGAATTTTCGGGGGTATTTGCTCTCGTCTGCGTTGCCGTTTTCGTTTCTGTTTTCGTTTTCGTCTTCGCGGGCGGATTGGCTATCGCGCTTGTTGTCGCGATTTTTGTGCTCGTTGACTCTGCCGTTGCCTCTCTCACGTGGCCTGTCTCTCGCTTTTTTCACCTCCTCTGGCATCGTGCTCTTCCCATCGCTGGTAACTGCCCACTCGCTACGCGTATCTTTCCCCCTCGACTCGGAAAGCTTCTTCGCACGGTTGACTTCTCTCTCCATCTCGGCGAATGGGTCGCTCTCTTTCTGCGGGCTCACTTCTCTCTCCAGCTCTGCAAACATATCGTCTGCGTCAATACGCCCGCTTCTTTTCTTTCTTCCTTTCTTTTCCATTTCGTCGTCGTCATCGTCATACTTACCCCTAGCCCTTTCCTCATCAATCAAACCCCCCTCCTTGAACACCTCCAACGCGGCCTTCCTCGCCGCCAGCGCAGTCGCCTTCCCCCCCATCTGCTTCTGTAATTCTCTATACTTCTCTACCATTCCCGTCGCCTTCAACTTCCACACAATGCTATCCTTTCCGAAACTCTCCTGCGGATCGTAGAACCTCGCCTTCCGCGTCTTGGCATCGGGTCCTAACACTTCCTCGACCGGGTCTTCCGTGATGTCCTTCTTACCCTTGCGGATGCGGTAGGTCGGGCGTTCCGCTTCGAGCGCCTCGCGCAGTTGTTGGCGTTGCTTGTAGGTTAGTTTTTTGCCTTCGGCCGCGAGCTGTTTCAGGCGCTCGATGTCGGGGCCCTGGGGGTTCGAGTGTTCTTCTTTGACGATACCCTCGCGGATAGCGGAGAGAATAGACGCGGGACGGGTCAGGCGGACATTGGGCAGGCGGGGAATTGGCCGGCGGGCGGCTTGGAGGGTTAGGGGGAGCATTTTGGTTATGAGAAGTGTATTGTTGCCATATGTTGAGGGGAGCTGAGTGTTGAATTGAGTCTAGTGAGAATTGAAACAAGAATATGAAAAAAAAAAAAGACAAAACTGAGTGAGGGCACTGTGAGGGGTATCAATGTGACCTGCTCAACTCAATTAGTACTAAAAATGACTTAAACAGAAGCCTAGAAGAAACAACTGGCCTCAACTCGAGGCCTCTTGAAAATGAATGAAGTTGTTGTACTTCTTTAACTCTCGGAGTCTCTCAGATTAAGGAACTGAATTTCCTTTCCTGAGAACCCTTCTGGCCCCAAAAACGAGGACCCACCTTTTTCTAATCAATCAACCAATAAAACGTGCCAAGAACTACCCCACCACCCCACCATCCCATGCACAGTGCGAGTCGAACTCATACCACGCACTCAACGCGATGCGAACGCGTCAGAGTATATCAAGTCAAGACTCGATGGAGCGACTTCGATAGACAATCAAGACAATTGCCGTTGACAGGCAGCATGGTACCCGTCTAAAATGTCGAAGGTTTGGTAAGTGCGGCTCTGACTCTGCGCATAATCTTTATTTACGATTTTTGCGAAATATTTTCTTTCAATTTCTTGGGTCTTTTCTTTTTTTTTTTTTTTTTTTTTTGAAGCTGGGGCATCGCTTACTTCCGAGAGACAGCCCTCCTCCCTCTTTAATTGCTCGAAAACTTGCAAACTGCCGGCCCTCATAACGAACTTCAACGACTCCGACGACAAGCAGTTGTATCGCTTGCTGACTGCCGCCACTGCGGGGGATAATGTCGATCTTAGTAGTAACCCCTAACCGACAGCGACGATGCCGGGACAAGAAGTCCACACCGGCAACGGCGAAGACGACCACGACCATGACCATCCCGATATTTTGGATGGGCTCGATGGAATCACCAATGCGTCACTTGGGCTGTCTGAGGCTCTCGCTCAACAACAACAATACCAGCAGACGAAAGGGCAGACCCTGCAGAGGAGGATGCCAGCCCCCCCAGCGCAGTCATTCATCCCCAGCCTGAGCGAACTTCTACGTGGGAGAAGGAGTTGGAGCAAAAGTGGGAGTAGCAGTCCGCTGGTTGTTTCGCAAGGGAGCCAGAGTCTGATCAAGAGTGAGAGTAGGAGTAGGAGTAGGAGTAGGAGTAGGAGTAGGAGGAGGAGGAGGAGTACGAGTAGGTGTGTTAGTCCGGTTCAAATCACGACAACAACAACAACAACAACAACCAAGCCTGCCACCAAGATGAAGGCAAAGATAGCGAACGGCATGGTTAAGGCGGGCCCAGAGACGACGACAAATATTGCGGTTGTGATACCGTGGATGCCCCCTTCAAAAAGGAATGAGTACAAAGCGGTTGAGATTGAGCCATGGGATCCGGAAGAAGAGGAGGGATTGCGGGGGAGCGGGAGTAGAAAACGGCGTAGGGTAAGACAACCTATTTCTGAAGATTCGCTTTTTTTTAAGAGAGGGAGGGGGGGGGGAGGGAGGGTAATTGGCAAGGTGATGGTTGGCATGGCTGCACGGCAGCATACATGCACACATTTTATGCATGGGAATGGCATGGCAGGAGAGTAAAGGTTAACGTTTGTTGGAGTGAGAGGTACGCGAAGGGCACGGGCTGGTATGTCGCGCACGACATGGCAAGATGGAGGCTCTTATCATTCTTGCCTGGCTTTGGGGCCATTGAGATGGTATTGTTTGTCTTGATGGCGTTTGAAGCCTGGATGAGAGAGAAAGGAGAGCCTTGGGTTGGGGGCAGCATCTCCCTGCTGAGATACCCATACAATCGCGCTGTTGTTGGTCCTTTGCTCTCTGGGAACTCTCCGCCATGGTTTGGACTTCATATCGTCGTGGTTTTGTGCATTCGGTCTGAGTTTGGGCCGTTGACCACGCAAACCATCGTCAGTACCATTCTCAGCATAAATACCCCTTCCCTCGTTTCGAGTTTTTTTTTTTCTTACCACAATTCTTTCTTCTACCATTCCATACCTACGCCACGTTCATCACCATCCAGTTCATCATCACCCATCATTACCATTCTGCCTCACTGCCCATACACTTGGCCCGATCGGGAGCTATCTTTTACGCTATCTTTGCCCTCATACATATCCTTACCCTTAGCCTACGCACGTGAGCGCATGGACTCCGATATGGACCAAGAGCCCTTCGTGGGCTCAGGGTACCAGCCGGGGGACAAAGGCTCTGAGTTCCAGCCTAACGCTGGTTCGGAATACCAGCCTGACGATGCCTCTTTGTACAAATCAGAGGATGACCTCCAGCCAGAATACTACCCGTCCATGGACCTAGACTCAGACTACCAGCCTTCTGAGTGGCAGCACGACCCGGACGAAGAAATGGTAAGCAGACACCGCCAAGTGGCAACTCAGTCTGCTTCATCATGACATGCCATGCCATGCCGTCTTGCCCAATCTGCACACAAACCCCCATCCGAATCAACCCGTTCAATGCTAACCCTTCCCAGGACGACCTCGACGACGACCTCCCCGAAGTTCCCGGCACGCACAAGCGCAAGCGTAACGACGACGATGGCGACGACGACAACGTCTACGCAGATGACTACTACTACTACGACGAGCAAGAGTCCGACGATGATATTGTTTCAGAACCCCGCGGCGGCGGCATCCGGCCTCGCCTCGGGCCTATGGATGATTTCCTTGACGCCGTACCAAGCCGCAGAAGTACAAGAACAAGCACCCGCCCCAGCTCGAGCCAGCTCGTCTCTATCGAGGGCGGGAATCAGCCGGGAGGTAATGATCTTGGGTCGATGAGGACGAGGAGACTCAGACCTAGGGTTAGTTATAGTTACTCCATGAACGGGGTTTATGATGATAAGGACGAGCTGCAGGACTCGGATGGGGATGATACGAATATCTCGCTGGTGCAGTCTGATATCGTACAGCCAAGGAAACAGAGACGGTTGACTGCGTTGAGGAAGCCCCCGGCGAGGATATGGACTCAGCAGAAAGCGCAGGCTGCTAAGCAAACAGAGGATTGGGGAGACTCGGATATCGAGTTCGAAGATCGCAGGAGGCGGTCGTCACGCTCGACTAGAGCCACAAAAATCATCTCCGACACCTACCTCGATGATGAGGATATAACTTATGTCGACGACGATCGGCCCCCAGCAGCAGCAGCAGCAGCAGCAGCAGCAGCAGCCCCGCGTATCCCCAACATGCGCGAACTCTTCCCTCCTCCACCCCCCGACTTTAAGTTCTTCCACAGTCCCACCTGCGACGTCTGTGGTCACGCCGCTGACGACCGCATCAAAGGTGCCATGGTCCCCTGCCAGGGCTGCTCCAACTCCTACCATAAAGCCTGCCTCGGCAACCGCTCCATGCGCGAACACGCCGTCACCAAGGTCGGCCCGGACATGTTTGTCTTGCAATGCCGCTGGTGCATCGGGGTTCATAAAAAGAGGGATGAGAGGGCTCCGAAATATGATATGTGCCAGAAGTGTGGGGGAAGGAATCCCAGTTGTGTGAGGTTTGCGCCGCGCAGGACGCCGAAGCAGGAGGAGGTTATGAGGGCTGAGAATGGCGGCGTGGATCCGGTTACCAAGGTCGAGGGTACGTTGGTGAATAATTCGGAGAGGGTGTTGTTTAGGTGCGGGAGGTGTAAGTGTGCTTGGTGTTGGGAGTGTCTGCCATTGCCGGGGAAGACGACCTCGGGGGCAGGGGGGGATTTGACGAAAGCCAGGAGGGCGAGGCTCGAGGAGTATGGCATTAGCTGGATGTGTCGGCTTTGCCAGGACACGGAGGAGCTGAAGATTGATAAGATCGTCGCGTGGCGCCCGGCGAGGAGGGAGCTTTACTCTGAGGGCAAGACGCTGCTCGATTTCACGGAGGACCAGCTCGAGTATCTGCTCAAGTGGGAGCACAAGTCGTACAACCACTGCGTCTGGATGCCGGGGGCGTGGGTGTACGGCATCGCGAAGCATGCCATGCGGCAGGCGTTTATTCGGCGGACGCTGGGCCAGGGGAGTGGGGATGTTGAGGGGGAGAGACATACGGATTCGCTGCTGCGCTGGCACGAGAAGGACGCGATTCATGACGTGTGGATCACGCCGGATATTATACTCGATGTGCGCTACGCGACCCGGTCGAAGGAGGATGAGAACAGGTATAGGGCGATGTCGCGCAGCGACAGGTTTGAGTATGACCTCGACCGCGTGTTTCACGTTGTTAAGATCTACGTGAAGTTCGAGGGGCTGGGGTATGATGACGTGGTCTGGGACACGCCGCCGTCGCCGGACTCGGGGCCCATCTGGGATGCCTATCTCGATGCGTACCGGGAGTACCTCAACGGGAAGCATTTCCGGCCCGAGCCGTGGCCTGCCATGCGGGCAAGGATAGAACGCTTCCGGCAAATGGACTTCGGGGATATCGAAGTCAAGGAACAACCTCCCGGCCTGAGAGAGGGGTGCAAGCTGATGGCATACCAGCTCGAAGGGCTCAACTGGATGTTATACAACTTCCGATACGAGCGGAGTGTCATCCTCGCCGACGAAATGGGCCTGGGCAAGACGGTACAAGTCGTCGCTCTGCTGGCGAGCTTTATCCTGACTGCGCCCAAGGTCTGGCCGTTCCTGATCGTCGTGCCGAACGCGACGTGCGCGAATTGGAGGCGAGAGATCAAGAAATGGGCGCCGGATCTAAGGGTCGTGGCCTACTATGGAGGGAAAGTGTCGCAGACGCTGGCGCTGGATTTTGAGCTTTTTCCGGGAGGCGCGAGGGATATGCGCGCGCATGTGGTGATTATGTCGTATGACAGCGTCAAGGACTGTGATCCGCGGCTGAAGTCGGTGAAATGGGCGGGTTTGGTGGTCGACGAGGCGCAGGCGCTCAAGAGCGATGAGAGCGCGCTGTATAGGGTCTTGAGTTCGCTCAAGATCCCGTTTAAGTTGCTGCTGACGGGCACGCCGTTGCAGAATAATAAGCGAGAGTTGTTTAATCTTCTGCAGTTTATTGACCCAGCGATGAGGGCAGACCAGTTGGACGAGCGCTTCAGCCAGATCACGTCGGAGAATCTGCCAGAGTTGCACGACCTGATCAGGCCTTACTTCTTGCGCCGGACCAAGGCCATGGTACTCACATTCCTCCCGCCTATGGCTCAGATCATCGTCCCCGTCAGCATGTCCGTCCTGCAGGAGAAGCTGTGCAAGTCCATAATGGAGAGGAATCCCCAGCTGATCCGCAGCGTGTTTGTCCAGCAGGGCGGCAAGCTCAAGCCGTCGGAACGGGGGTCGCTGAGCAATATTCTGATGCAGCTGCGCAAGTGCCTCTGCCATCCCTTCATATACTCGCAGGCCATTGAGGACCGCAACGTCCCGCCCGAGGTCATGAGGCGCAACCTGATCGAGGCGTCGCCGAAGCTGATGCTCCTGGAGATCATGCTGCCCAAACTAAAGGAGAGAGGACACCGCGTGCTTATGTTCTCCCAGTTCTTAGACCAGCTCACCATCCTTGAGGACTTCCTCAATGGCCTGGGCTTGAAGCACGAGCGTCTGGACGGCAACCAGTCCTCTCTGGAAAAGCAGAAGAAGATCGACGCCTTCAACGCCCCCAACTCGGACATCTTCGCCATGTTGTTATCGACCCGTGCCGGCGGCGTGGGCATCAACCTCGCCACTGCCGACACGGTTATCATCCTCGATCCAGACTGGAACCCGCACCAAGATATCCAGGCTCTCTCGCGCGCTCATCGTATCGGCCAACGCAGAAAAGTTCTCTGCTTCCAGCTCATGACAGTCGACTCCGTCGAGGAAAAAATCCTCCAGATCGGCCGCAAGAAACTCGCCCTCGATCATTTGTTGATCGAAATCCTCGACAACGAAGAGGACGCCCCCAACGACGTGGAGTCCGTGCTCAAGCACGGCGCGGCCGCGCTCTTTGGCGAGGGAAAGAAGAAAGAGGCGATTATGTACGACTCGGCGGCGGTTGAGAGGTTGCTTGATAGATCTATGATGGAGGAGACAAAGACGGGCGAAGATAAGAGTGCCGAGAGCGCGTTTGCGTTTGCTCGCGTATGGGCGAATGACGAGGGAGGACTGAAGGACGATTTGCAGGTGAAGGAGACAAGTGTGAGTGTGGGCGTGTGGGAGCAGATTTTGAAGCAACGCGAAGAAGAGGCACGCAGGGAGGAGGAGGCTAAGTTGGAGAGATTGGGACGAGGGGGGCGCAGGAGGGGGGTAAGTACTCTCTGTCTCTGGAAGAGGGTTTGACGAGGGAGGGGCTAACGTGATGCAGGCTGCGTATGCGAGCTACACTGGCCCGCGCTTTGAATTTGACGATGGCGCGGATGCGGCAGCCGCTGAGTCTGACCAGGCTGATGGCGACGGGGACTTTGTGGGCAGCGATAAGAGTGATGCTGAGTCAAGCGACGAGGAGGAGGAGGTGGTGGTGGTGGTGGAAGAGGAGGGGGAGGAGGAGAGAGACAGCGAGGCTGCGAATGGTAAGTCGACGTTAGAGAAAGAGATGCAAGAGTCGCAGAGTGAGACGAGAACGGCTGGAAGTCTGGCCGGGCAGGATGGTGCTGTTCCTGCGTCTTTGACAAAGATTGCAAGGAAGAAGGCTGCTGGAAGTCCAGACGGCGCTTCGACGACGACGACGACGATGACGACAACGACAACGACAACGACTGCAAAGTCTAGGAATATTAAAGCTACAGCGGCTGGAAGTCTAGCCTCACTGTCAACAGCTGTGGTATCCACGCCTAAGAAAGCGAGAGTTCGCAAACAACAAGCCCAGACGGACACCACAACCCCTTCATCGGCTCCGAGAACAACAAGCTCACGCAAACGCCCAAAGCAGACTCCGAAGTCGACCACACAAACCTCCCCAACGTCAGCCCAAAAGACCAGCAAGAAGACCAAACGGGAGCCGTCGGCCGCAAAAAAGGCAGTGCAAGCGGCGGTGGCAGCAGCAGCGAGCGCGGCAGCCGCCAGAAGGAGAAGGGCAAGACCTCCGGCGCAGATGCAACAGTTGCAGTCTTCTGCCCTCTCGACGGAGAGGGGGACGCAAAGCAAGGGAAGAAAGGTAAGAGAAATGGAAAATCAGGGCCAGGAGGTAAGACCGCAGGAGCAGGAGGGACAGGCACAGGCACAGGCACAGGGACTGCGACTACCGCCCAACCTGGTCCCGGACAAAAACGTCACGGCAACGCTCTGCTCAACGGGCATGCCCGCGCTGGGGCTGGGAATGGATCCGTTGGTGGTGAGACTCTTGCAGTCGCAGGTGCAGCAGCAGGGTCTCTTGCCGGCACAACCGCCAATACAACAACGGGAGCGACTCTAGCGATTGTTATTCCCAGTCTTAACTCTACCACCACAACAACGACATCATCAGGAGCGACGATTCCTGCCAGGGTGACGCCCATCCCGCCGTCGGTTATTCCCGGCCGTTCTGCCCCTCCGAAGCCGGGGCACTTACCGCCGCCAACGATGCCAATGTCACAAGGTTTATCTCAGGCGCCAGTTGTGCCGTCATACCCCCCCTTTCCGACACCCGTCCCAGTTCCCGTCCCGATCCCGTCGCATCACTATTCCCATACTCAACCCCCTGTTACCCCCGTCCCCATACCCGCCCCCGCCCCAGCACCATTGCAAATGTCCGAGACGCCGTGCTTCGTCTGCGGCTTCATGCACCCCGACTCATGGGAGTGTCCGGAGCAGAGGTCGGAGGTGGCGCTGCGATTAGCAATTGATCGTATTACGACCATACTTAAGAAGGGGAAGATCACGGAACGGGAGAGGGATATGTGGGTTTGGAGAAGGAATTGGTTGGGGGGGAAGTTGAGAGGGGTCAAGAGGGTAGGTAAATAGGGAGAGTTGCAGTAGAGGATTTCGTTTTTGCTTTCGGAGGGAGCATGGGATAGGGTAGAGGGTTGATTTGAGTTCAGCAAGAGGGAGTGTTACGGCGTATGATATGGCATGGAGTTCGTGAGAAGGGAGGAGGTTGGTGATGCGTTTTAGAGTGGAATGAACTTATACCTAGGTTTTTGCTGGGATGGGTCAAGTGCATGGACATTCATCGATGGGGTATTCTTGAGTCTCTTAGTTTTTTTTTTTTTTTTTAGTTCATTCCTCATGAGGCAGAAGCAGTTACTTAAGGTTATGGCATACCCTATGGTTAAGGGAGAGGAAAGGGTAAGGTACATAGTAATAATCAAATGATTACCAGAGATGTCGTGGTCATTGCTTTGAGACTTATTGAGTTAGGGGGCTCATATCCTGCATTCACTGGGATCAGATACAACCCTCTAGCGGAGCAAGGGGTTAGAAGTAGTCAGAAGAACGAGCAAGGGTATCATCATATGATGATGGGTCTAAGGCCAAGAGTCCAAGGATTATGTATTGACCAGGCAACATCCAATTTTTATTCTCCCCTTATCCCCTTGCCAGGCGCATTGTTAAATGGAGAAGTGGTTATGATGGACTGGTAGATAACCAATTGAAGATACACAATTCTCTTGAAACTGATCGGGCAAGCATGTCCCCCTTTTGAAGAGTTAACTTACTTCTGAAAGTCAGATCACATCTCCCATCACTTGCTCATCACTCAAATTCGGTGGCCGCTATGATTTTTTCCTCTCTTGCTTGTTCTTGCATCCTTCAGCGGCTTGAAGGTCAACAAGCAAAAGTGGAAAGACACCGCTGCTCTGCATCAACATTGAAGCCAAATGCATACTACCGAGTGGCTTGCATGCCTGCGTGGAACTGCCGGCAGTGAGCCGAAGGGACAACACAGCAGGACACAAAAAGAGTTTTTGTTGACGTCTGTCATGGGGGAAGTATCAACAGCACCGGATGTCCTCGATCTCTCCGATCAAAGAGCATCTGACTTCCACAATTGATTCATTAACCCACTGAACAAAAGAGATTTCTGAACTCCGGAATCCCTTCCGTTATCTCTCTCTCACATCTGTGTTGGGAGCAAAGAAGTTTAACGGCATTGCTACTCTGTTTGTCACGTGCATCGACAAACCCTCTCCAACATGCACGTTGCCGGGCTTGATGGTGCATATCTAACGCAGGGAACCTTATTTGAGCTGTTAGGGCGTTTGCTTGTGCTTTTGGCTAGTCCAAACTCTCACACTCTCTTTGGCTGCTCTTGCTATGTCTGGTAGTATTCTCATCCTTTGATGTTTTGTGCTTTGCTGCGCTTTGCTCTAATGTAATGCATGTCATGTGGCATTATGAAGCCGCATAGTTCAGGGGAAGACCCTGAGCGAGTAGAGGAGAGGGGCGTGTTCTAGAAGGGGAGAAAGAAGCATGGCAAAATTGAGCAGCATGGATCAGCCTGCTTTAGAGAGGGAGATGAAGAGCGCAGTGTTGATCATTTTAAAAATAAGCATGCTCCCACTTGTGTTGCTTCTTCACGGGCGGTCTTGTACTGGTCCTAGCTTTCACTTTGTACAAAAGGGCAGAAGTGCGGTAAACCCCTGATTTCTTCCAACACTCATGCTGTGTTAGCTATTTTCATGGTTGCTGCTGCCTTCTCATCATCATCTTTGGAAGATCTCAATCAACCTCAGCTTTCGCCTCGACAGGAAGGGAACACAAACTCGCCTTGTGTCTGCCTCACCGGTCTTTCGGTAATGTTACTAAGGTTGTGTTGGTTGAATTGCTTCGCCACATATTGGTAAGGCAACTGGGTTTTTTTTAAGAGTGGATAGGTGAGTCTTGATCTGGGACACCATCACATCAGCTTAATTCGGTCACTTAGCCTCACACACACCATGAACAGAGTCGTAAAGTGTAAAGAAAGATCTTGATCCGTCAAAGTTGAGTCTGGTCGGACACAACAGCAAACACACCTACAAGCGGTATAGATCAGACGCTGGCAGAACTCAAACGCCGGCATCAGACTTTAACTACACAAGTCCGTTTGCTCGCCGCTACTGTCTGCCAGCTCCTTGTTGGCAAAACCTCCTTTCATCACGACATCACAACTTTTTGACCAACTTACTTTGAATTTTACGTTTTGTCATTGCCACTAGCCGCACCAATATCCGTTTCAACAACAAGTGAGGTGATCTAGCAGTTCTATCTCTTTTTCAAGATTTCACCATGGAGTGCAAACAAACAACGCAACAAGAAACGTTGGAAGAATCTTCTACAAGTAAGTTTTCTGGTTCAAGTCGCCCAACACCAGAGGTCCAAAGCCAGATACCCTGCAGAAATTGCGTGATATTGGAGTGCTCAAGTTGGGGAAAACAAGATTGCCAGAAAGGTGGTCTGGCTGGAAATGATTCGAGACTCAAGGTATGTCCGGCTGCATGCTTGTTTTGTTGATCCTGAAGAGGCACAGACTTTTCTTAATTTCAGGATCCCACCCCTTCCTACTCCTCATCTCTCTCTTTTCTCTCTCTCTCTTCGCCTGTTCACATGGCATAATGAATTCATAATTTTAAAGCCTATATTAACACTCACCAGTCCGGCTTCAGCGCAGAACATGTGGCTAGGAACCAGTCTCCTTCTCTCAGGGATATAGACTTGAAGAATGTCTCTTTTCCAATTTCACTTCTGGAAAATGACACAGCGAATGCTGAGGCTGGCGAGAAGTCCACAATACAACACACGAAGGATGTTGTTTGGTCAAGCAACCACCGAGTTTCTGTCTTGAGAACTGAAGACAAGATTGGGGAAAGAGCAGTTGGGACGGCACCAGTTTCTTCTCAGACCGTGCACAATGGGGGCAATGATGGAAAGACTGAGTCTGAGACTGCAACAGCTTTTTCACAAAAGATCAGCTCAGAGTTGGGGTCTCAGGGAACACCTGGATGCCTGGGAGAAACGGTCAGGATATGCGAGAAGAAGGGCACATCTGTCAAAGGGGATAGCAAGGGTCCCAGCAGCTCCAACAACTCTCATTGTAACTGTCACTACCCAGTCTTGCAACAGGACAATCAGATTGCGACAGTTCTTCTTGAGCAATCTGACACTCAAAACACATCAGAAACGACAACCCCTCAGATAACAGACTCAAATCACCATGCGAGCAGGACCGGACAGAAAGAAACAACAGTTCAGGATACAAACACAACAACACGACCTGAAAGCCACGGGACTCGGAAGATATCAAGAACACCAGTCAAAATGATGCTCTCTGGTCATAGTTCTCCTGACTTCATTAATGGATCTCTCTCAACCGACCAGAAATTTGTGAATGGAAGTCAATGCGAACATGATACTGGGGCACCATCTGGTGGCCTGGACAGGACAACAGACTCCAGAAATGGTCAGGTTAATTATGCTGCTGGGTGAGAAACAATCTTTATGACAGGACATCTGAGTTAACCTTGTTAACTATGGTGTTCAACAGAATCACTGGCTCCAGCGATTGGCAAGTCAGCTCTTGCAATGGGCTTACGAGTGACATTGAGGGAAAGGGGGTTCAGATAGACCTCATGAGCACTGGACTGAGTGAGACTCGCTCACACAGTTGCTCTCCTTCCTTCACTAAATCTGAAGCTACCATGAACGGATTCATTGCCGGCTTAGGTGCTTCAACTTCTTTGATAGACAAAGTCATAACCTCGGACGATAATAAGGCACCCAGGCTTGGAACGACCTCTGACCAGATTCCAAACCAGACTTCTCTTTCACTTTCTTTAGCCACAGCTTTCAACAATGGTCAAACAAGCAGGTATGAAACTACCACAATGCAATTGTGCCAAACACAGCCGTGCTAAGTGTTGTGCTTCACAGAACTGCTGGCTCGGCGAAACATCAGCCCGACCGGCCCCGCGCGACCTCCGATGAGACTTCTGTAAAAACGAGTTGTCTGGCCTCCTCACACGATAAGACTACGTGCCTCGCTCGAAGCAACAAATCCAAAATTCTCCCCGACGAGACCCCGGCTGCGACATATTCCCCACCGACCATCACACATACCGCACCAGTTACCTATTGTGCTGCAGACTCCGCGAGGGGCTCCGGAGATGGGCCCGATCAAACCGCAGCCGAGACGGACCCGGACAGCCCTAATAATTCTTGCCTTTCCCCCAGAAACTCGCCAGAATCTTCCTCTTTTACATTCCCAGCTTCTTCCTCCTCCTCTTCTTCCTCCTCTTCCTCCTCTTCCTCTTCCTCTTCCTCTTCCTCTTCCTCTTCCTCTTCCTCTTCCTCCTCCTCCTCTCCTCCGTCTGCAGCAGAGCCTTTGTCAAGCACCAAAGACATCACTTTGCTGCCTACCCCTGTATTCTCAGTCAATCAAACCCTCGTTCACAACATGTCTAGGCTTGATCACCAGCCCTTGAAAGGTTCTTCTTTTCCTAGATCCTCAGCCTTAGCCCTCGATTTTCTTACGGCAAAGTCCTCTTTGACGGGGCAAGTCGGTTGGCCCAGCTTGATTAACTCCAGCAACGGTCACTTGGCCAGTCAGTCAATTGGAAATAACATGACCTATAATGCGCGGTATAAAGGCTACACTGGGGCTGAACACTACCAAGAGGCCTCCTTCAGTGCCAATCCTGTTCCAAAACATGCGACTCGCCGCAGTCAGAATATCCCCGCTGCTTACCTTTCGCAGAACTGGCGCTCTGGACATCAAACTACCTTGTAAGTGGCTATTTCTTGGTCATGATAAGCTCTGCTAATAATGAAAGCATTAATGTCACTAACTTTTTATCAGTAGTATGGCCAATAACATCATCAACATGGGCGTGCAGAGCGAAATCGCTGGCGTCGACTCTGGCTCCGGACTAACTCCTCCGGGTGCCGATCCGATTTGCAATCCTGCGCCGGGCTTGAATAATGTGCCTGGGTTCTCGGCCTCTGTTTCCGGCATGCCGCCGAATGCGTCAGTTTCAGCTCCTCAGCCCACTACTAGTGCCGAGTATTATACCTCCCATGCGGTCAGCAAGGTTACAAGCGGCTCTCGCAACCCTGGCCTTCATAATAGTCACGGTTCTCCCTATATCATCAATCCAACCGAGGACACCCTCGCCGCAAGGCTCAACGCCCTTAATGTCGCCAACGGCCAGAACACAACTAACCCTCCCCATTGCGCCACCGTCACTGGAAACAACTTTAGGATCAACCCCAATAACGATTCCAATGTCAACAGCCATAACAATCTCAACGTCGCCTTCACTTCCAACAACCAGATCACCATCAGCTTCACCATCTCGTCCGATATCCAAGGCTACTGCTTTGTGCGCCCCGATGGCTCGCGTACCCGCTTGGTTCCGGTCGATAAGCTTCCGTATCCGCTTGCTGGTATTCCCGTGACTGAGACGGGTCCTGATGCGGAGCGCTTGATCGCGCTGCCAATTCCCACGGGTGTGGGACGTGATGGGCGCAATACGAATACTGAACCGTTGCGTCCGGTAAGCAATTATTCCTGCTACCCTTCTTTAATCATTTTTCTTGTCATTCTTGGCAATATCCTTGAAAGGTTTCCACTCTTCAGGTGTCAGTGCGTGGCGTTGGGCGATGTTGTGTTGTGAGGGCTAACATCAGGGGAAGACACACAATGCGGGTAACCTCGGCAACAAGCAGGTAAATATTTACTTACTCCTGAACCCCTGAAATGGTCCCAACAGCACAACACCCCAATCCACAGAAAAGCTCCGTTTCATGGACTGTTAATCTCAGTGACACTGAAAAACATGAAGCATCGCTTTACTGCTCAGATCTTGAACTTCAAAAAATTTCCTCTGCATTCCAGTTTCCCCCGCATCCCTTGCTTCCTTTGCTCCTGACAGCGTTTTCAAACGAGCATTCAAACAGACATGAACAAAGACAACTGCACTCCCAGCCCATAGAAACCAATTTCCCCTCTTCCTACCAAAGTATTTAAACATTCACTAACTCTCTCACAGAGCCACAACATCTCCGCCGCGCGCACCACCAACAACACCAACACCAGCATCCCCAACAGCAACATCCGCGGCGTCGATTCCCACGGTAAGCCCATCAAAATCTACTGCGACAAGTGGGTGCACGAGGGCGTTTGCGCCTTCACCCAGCAGGGCTGTCGCTTCCTCCACGAAATGCCGCGCGACCCCGCCACCCAGCAGATGGTTGGCCTCTTCCATGGGTATCCGGCGTGGTGGAAGAAGCAGCAGGCTATGTTGAGCGCGCCAATCAGGGGTGTCGAGGAGGGGATTGCTGGTTCGTTCAGTGGCAAGATATCTGGTCGTGATGTGGAGGAGTCGTCCGCAGGGGGGTGGTAATCGGGAGGGGGAGGGGGATGGGAGGTTTGAGCGCGGGAAGCAAGGCGGCGAGTGTGCTGGCTGGCCCGTGGCGCAAGGATGTGCCTGCTGCGGAGCAGCAGGGTTTTGATAAATTCGCAGCAGACGCTGGGTCAGTTCAGTGGCAACACTTCAGCTGCCTCCCAGCGTTCTTCTACCAGCCTGCTGAATCGCGGCCCACGCCCCAACACCCTCCCTGGTTGCCTTGTGGAACGTGCCCCTGACAGCCCGACCCCGCTTCCTCGCTCTGTTCGGGGTACTGCTGCTGCGACTGCTCGCATCGACTCTTCCCGTCCATCTGGTAGCGTGAGCCAGTCTGTTTGGGACCGTCCCAGCAAAGGTGCTTGGGGCCAGGACGTTCTCTGGGGCCACAGCAGCTCCTTGTCTAACTCAAGCTCGGGCTCTGAGAACGGGAATAGTTCTTGTGCTGATGGTAAGAAGCAGGGGACTTGCGCATTTGGTAAGTTCCTTTCCTCCCCTCTCTTCCCCCCCCCCCACCCAAAAAAAACCAAACCAACAATTTTCCCTGCAGTAATTTGTACTAACCTCACCTTTCACAGATTTCCCCTCCATCCCGGCTTCCTCTCCCTCCCCCTGGGGCCCAATCGCTCCTCCCCACACCCAGAGTGCTGCCAGCACCGTCGCGAGCAACAACACGCGCTCGACAGACACCACCACTGCGACCAGCAGCAACGGGGTGAGCATCGCCACGGCTCCAGCTCGTACAAGCGGCAGCAACGGCAACCCGTACTCTGTGCTCTCCTTTGCCCATGGCGAGGATGTCAAGCAGGAGCAGAGAGCCGAAGAGGATCTTTCGCTTGAAAGCGAGTAAAGGGAGACACAGAAACCTGTTTCTACATCAAGAGTGTGTGCTTTTCTAAAAAGTTCTTCTATTTACCATTTCCTGCTGTTTTTTTCTGCTTCTTACTACCAGTTCCCTGGCATATTACCAGTATGTTTACAAGAATGTGTAGATAGTGGGGTTGAGAGCAGAATAAAACTTGTTAGATAGGTCAACGTTGATAGACTGGCAATGGGACATCTAGTCAATGAACTCACTTATGAAGACTACGTCAGTTGAACTATCACATAGCGTGAAATAGGCTCATCCCTGTCACATTGGATAGAGAAAGACACATTTGAACTCAGACAGCCAACCTCAGGCGATAAGGGCATTGCTGGTGTCTGCTGCTAATGCCGGCTCTGACTTTCCGCTCAAGGGGTCTACCTTTGTAGGGGGTTAAACCGATGTTGAATCCACTGCACCCATTGCTAAAGCCCGATGTAACCGCCCGCAGGGAGTGCCAACCATACTCTCTCTCCAAGCTTTGCAGCGAGCTAGATAAGACCTATATTAGCGACAGACAGATTCACATTCACACTGGACGGAAACTCATTCAGGCTGCAGCCGCAGGATCTTCGTAGCCCTTGGCCCTCCTCGCCATATCCTGCCCGTCGTAGGGGACATCGTAGTAGATAACCTAACCACAGACGGAGATACCCTCTGCCCGTAGCCGTCTTATACCCACAGCTGGTCGTCTCAGCTCGCTCGTTTCGTCCGTTCCCGACAAAGACACTTACGGCAGCCGGGACTACTAGACGGAAGGGGAGCTGTTTCTTTTTATCTTAGCTAGGATATGCCGATAATCCTGTAGCAGGACGCTTTCTTCTTGGATATGGCATATTTACCCACGATAATATTTATACTTTTCGTGAAGGATTAGCAGGTTAGAAGGGCTTTTTGATCTGATGTACACGCCGCATAGTCTTGTCTGGACGAGGGTTGGAAAGGTCCGTGAGAAGCGACTGGAGATTGGAAATGCGGTTTTGCTGTCTGAAGGGACGGCTCACCAGCCCGTTGCTAATGCTTGGTGCTAGTGCCAACTGTTAATGCCTGCCATTATCGCCCAGGTACAGCAACCGCTCGGTGATGCTGGGAACATCATTTGGGAGCTGCTTGCCTCGGTACTGCCGGCGACGAGCAGTCCCCCTCCCCCCGTTAGTGCCTGCATAGGATACATTCCCTTCCCCCCGTTGCTTCCACTCGTTGTTAACACCCGCTGTGGGCACCAACACACTAGTATCGGCTACCGACAGCCTTTCTATACACTGGCATTATTAGAGAGGTCCTCAAAGGCCAAGCAGCGAAGTTCAAGTACGGCCAGCAGTACAACCAACCCCATCTAACCTTGAACCGAGGACCGGTTTACTAACCCAAATAATACTGCCATGCGGCCCATGAGATTCAGCTCTAAGCATTACTCTTGTCTGGCAACAGGCAGCGGTATAATCCAATCCAGTCCTGAATCAAGGACCAGCACACTGTCCCGGACAACATTTCTGTACGGCGCTTAGTTAGCCAAACTCTAAGGGTCGTCCTTGTCTGCAGCAACCATGACTGTGCTGGCCTCCGGTTTCTAGTACAGCCAGCGCCAACAACCAGTTCCTTGAGGTTATGGCCGGTCTTGTGAACAACCGGCATCTACAGTGGGCTCCTTGATTTTACGAAAGTTGCTGTTGGGTTCCCAGCCGAACCGATCTTCGTTGGCGTCGTCCGACCTAGAGTCGCCTTGACAAAAGTCAAGATGCAGTTCCATGAAAAACTGGATGTTTACAATCAAGATGTGTATCGTATCAATCCAGTTGTCTTGGCGGTGTTGCATGACATGTGCTTTGAGGTTGGGACTGAACAGTCCAAACTGGAACTCGTAGATGCGAAGTCATAGTGACTTGCGGCTCCATCTGATGACGGTACAGGAACTTCGAGAAGATGGAAAGCTGCTGATGGTAAGTCACAGAGACTTAATGCTCTCTAACGACCGGAGAATCCATAAACCTGGCCACGTCTGTGCCTTGGCACCGTCTGTTTAACAAGGTATATGATGACCGTTCTCATAATAACTTGAGGCTGAGATCTTCCTTTTAAGACCACAATGATACCAAAGATGCCTCTCACTCAAAAATTACGTCTTGTCGGGTGGTCCAATATCTGGACACCACGGCGTGTGAAAATGGTTGTTGTGATGGGCGCGTCTCGTCGAATGTTAGGTTGCTTACCATCACATATGGGGTGTGTTGTTGAGAGTAGAGACATTCACTGTCTTGGGGAATGAGTCTTGTTGAAGGTGGCAGGTTGCTTTGTCGTGAGATCCCTCCTCTGTGCTAAGATGCTTCCTCTCTACTATGGCCAGCGTTGCATTCCGACCCTCAGCATGTATTTCATCTTCCTTCTCCTCCTGCCATTCCTTTCAATGTTCCCGGCAATTCAGCGTACTGTCATCCCTTCTCTTTCCTGTCATCACCTTCTCCTCTCATCCTTCACTTAGCAGTACAACCATATTCAACCTTCAACCGGGCATTTCCTTCTCTTTCTTCCCTTCAACTGACACTCTAGGCAGCTGAGGTGATACCTTAGCCTCTCTTCATCTACCCTGATGATGCATGTCCCTTCTCTGTTCCCCGTCACCCAGCGTATTGCTGTCCTCGTTTTCTCCTATATACTGGGCAACTACCAATGTTATGGCAGTAGTACAGCACCTATTCAGCCCTGAATCAAGCTGTGTGTTTTTTCACTGACCAAAATAACAACATTTTGTTTTTCGAAGCACAAGAACTACCTCTCAGGGCTGTTCCCTTGCTCATGAGAAGACAGCAGGATGATGTTAGAATAGGAGAGGAGAAAAGAAAAACCTCCACATGAGAAGACTTGGGATTGGAAGAAGGAAGTCTTAAAAGAGAACTTGAGAGAAAGAGAGGGTGAAAGAGATAAAGAAGAAGAATGATTTTGCGAGGGGAGATCCGGGAGGGGAGTCCAGCACTGCCAAAGAGGGAAGTTAAGAAAGAAAGGAGTCTTAAAGACCTAGAGAAAGGTGGACTTGGATAAGTACTTAGAGAAGGAGCAGAAGTGCTCAAAAAGCGAACACATCTAATGGAAGCAAAGCATCCTTTTGTCGCGTCCCATGTCAGATCTCACTGCGAACGGGGAGATTGTGATCATGGAACAGGGACTCGGAGGGAATACCTGCTCCATCGCATTGTCCAGATAGATCTCTGAACTTGGAATGTAGGTTATTTTCCAACCTCTACCAGCAACCCTGATTCTCCCATGAGCCCTTATCAGCTTGAACCCTGTTTGTGTCATTGGGCTTTCATACTCAACACGCAGGCGTGAACGCACTGTTTGACATTGATTACCTCGTCCTAGTGTTGCCTTATGTTCAATTCTCTCTCAGTCTTTGCTCACGACAGGGTTCTCCTCGGAAGCTGCAGGGTGTCTTGATGAACCATGTCTTACCTTTTCTCTTTTATTAAATGCAAAACATGTCCCTAGTTCTCAGGGTTAGGATCGCATGGGAAAGAGGAGAGGGGAGCCCAGATGGAGCCTAACACTATGAAACGATATCCAGAGCCTGCAGAGGATTCCCTGATTCTCTAAGGTATGCCTGGTTGAAGAGATTGGTTTTCCATTCCTGCTATTGTAGGTCTCAGATAGACCAGATACAACAGCGGATAGCAGGCTATGTCCCTGTAAAAGAGGTTGTTTCTGTTATATGGAGAGGATGTAGGTCATTTCCTGAGTTTTGACTACAGTGCTGGCCTCTCTTAACACCCATCATGAGCTGGATTACGGTGCCGAATCCTCCTGAGTTTTCACTCAGCTTTTCCGATAAATAAGTCATTCCGCAGCATCCACAAAGCATATGGACACAACCACACACAATCCATATCATGGTTCCATTTATCAACCATGTTTCCTCTCCCATGATATGCACACACCTCTAAAAACGCCAGGCTTCGTAAGCAGCAGTAACTAAGCACGCACCATGACTGTATCCGCAGCCAGCCACTGTTATCCCTTCTTTGTTGTTTCCCACACGTTCCATTCCATTTCAAAAACACAAAAACCCTTCCCTCTCCATGAGTACCATCACCCTAGCCAGGCCTCAACCCTCAGCCAATCTCTCAATACTTCGACGCAACCCCCATCATCAAATCCTCATCCTCTACCTGCGCCATAAAACTATCCACATACTCCTGCCCCGCGGCGGCCCCCCTCTCTGCCCGCTCCTTCTCCTTCTGCTCCTTGACCAAAAACCGGATATACTCCTTCGTCTTCCCCAGCCTCTCATTTGCCGCCCTAACCAGCGGCTCCAGCCCCTTAATCCGCTGCGCAGCCTCCGCCATGCGCGCGGCAAACTCCGCTTCGGTCATCGTCCCCTCGCCATCCTTCTCCCCAGACTCGGCACCGGCGCTACTCCTGCTGCTGCTCCCCTCAGCCTCGTCTAAGAAACGAAGATAGGGTTCACCATTATCAGGATGCTCCACAACCCCCCTCAACATTCCTTCTTGAATCATCTGCCCCACCAAATCCTCCACCTCAGCATCCGTCGCCAGCGGCGCCCCCGTCTCAGCGCTCTGTGTACGCGCTCTGATCTGTGAGAGCGGAATCTTCGTATACACATGCCGCATATTCAGGATTTGCCACCGCTGGTAGTGCCTAATGACCAGACGGACCAAACTCAGGTTATTCTCCTCCGTCCAGACATTCGCGGGGACGGCATCGAACTCAGCCCTCAAATTATCCGGCGTTCTTTCCTCGAATGCGCGCGCCAGCGCGAGATAGGGCTTGGACAAGGTGGTGTATGCTTTGGCCGGGCCAGGGGATGTCGTCGGCGGAAGGGCGGGAGCATGTCCGTTGAGCAGGAGTCCAACCAGAATCCACTTGTTATGCGCCTCAACCATGATCTTGCTACATGCGTGGGAGTCTTTGACGGGGTAGGTAACGACGCGCTCGAGGGCCTCAAAGGCGGCACGCCAGGCGCGGCGCTGGATAAACGCCAGGCCACGGAGGAGGTCGTATTGCATGACGTCGCTGCTGCTCACTTTTTGAGTGAGCCCGGATTCAACGGTGATGTAGCCTACGGGGGGCACGTCCGGATCGCAGGGGGGTCGCGAGTCGGCAAATTTTTTGCCGCTGGGGTAGAAGACGATGTCCTTTTCGAGGATAGGGAGGGCCGCGTCGATGTTATCGGTTGTGTAGGCGAGTTTGACGAGGGCTAGGTGGTGGGAGGTGAACATCGAGCCGGAAGGGTCGAGGCGCAGGAGGGCTGTGGTGAGCAGCTCGACGGCGACGGAAGCCTGGAGAATGGGGTATATTAATGGCCGTTCGTCCGACTAGCAAAAGCCAAGGATCACCGCGCAGTCGCGGAGGGACTCACAGGAAACAGCGTCCCGCTACTGATCCAGCCCAGCACCGCCGAGAAATGCTTCCCAAAATACCGTATCTGCCTGCTGTCAAACGTGCAGGCGAACGTAGTAATCTTGGTCAAAAGGTCCTCCGGAGTGAGTCTCCCAGCGTCATGGGCGGCGACCAGCAGGCCCAGGTATGAAATAGTGTGGTCGGTCGGGTGAACATGCTGTAGCAGAGTCCAGTCAGTCAGCCAGAGGAAGTCCGGAGAGGAAAAGGAAAGAGAGCTGTCGCGCATACATCAATCAGCTGGTGAGCATAGTTATGCAGCTCTTGCGATGACAACAGCTTTTCAACATTTTTGGCGTGTTGGACGGCGGCCTGGTTGTACTGCGCGCCCTCGAGCTGGGCGCCCACCGGTGGGAACTCCAGCAGCACCGAAGCGATTCGGTCCATGTGTGACGTTGGGTATCGACTTGGGGAGGAAGGTAAAGCGTAGCAGAAATTAACTGAATTTCAGGGTAGGCCGTAGGATATTAGGTCTTGTGAAAGACGAAAGTCACCAACACTGGGCTGAACAAGGTATCGGTGCTTCTCAAGTTTTTGAAGTTGGAAAGCTTCTGAGCTTGGAGTCAGGGCCGACTCCAATGCGCCGAGGGGACAGCCGTGAGCGATCGGGTCATGCGAGTGCTTGCGGTATCTTCTAAGATGATATCACAAATATAATTCCTGCTTCTTTCAGCGGCTGCTTCAGCAGGGAGGCTGGCGACTTCACGGCGGGCTGTTGATGCTGGTCCACTTGATTGGAGGTTGGAGCTCCCCGCGATTAGGCAGCCTGGCCCCGCTTTGGTGACGGCGCTGGAGATGAGCCCCCCACTTTGAGTGATGTAATTTTACAGCTGGTAAAAATTACTCGTAAGGAGGAAAGGTCGTTACAGACCCTAACCCTGAGCCCATCACAACGACCTTCGGGCGGCCATGGCAACATCTCTCGCCGTCAAACAAACCAGATATTTACGTCGTTGATTAAGTCTCACTGTTCGGTACCGAAAAGTTCCCCAGAATAATCGTCCCAATATCCCAGGCCATATAACCCGAAGCCATCCCATCAGCATGAACTCCCATCTGGGGCGCAGCCAATACATAAGCCTGCCCCTAACCGCGCTACCCCCTCGCTCCCCACTGTGTTCAGTAGACCACGTTGTGCCAGAACGAAGAATTTCAGTTGTCGTTTGTTGACCATCTGGTCCAACAACTAAACTCCAAAATCTTGTCCTCCCGCTTAAACACTCATCTGCCTGATGAGCTCGGCCAGCTTGTGGCCCTCCGACTTGAAGTCGATGGGCGTGGCACTCATAGCCTGGTAGCGGACCCTGAGCACCCGTTAGTCGTCATCCCTTTGGTAGACAAGACAGAAACCTACCTAGGCATATCACCAAAAGTGTCCATCTTTGCCCGGACGCGGAACGTAAGCTTCTGGCAGCTGGCCTCCTCAAATATGGCATCAAGCGCCGCCTTGTCACCCTGGAGGGAAACGAGCTCGTCGGCCGTTCGGCCCATGACCACGTTGGCGATATCATCGAAGCACGTGACCCAGAGGTGTCCGGTGTGGTCGCTAACCATGACACCCAAATTGTACCGGTACCGGGCGCGGTCGTGGGTAACATCACACTTTTCGCAGCGCCAGGTGCCGTCACCCATATCAGTAACTTTCTTGTTGCAAGGTGGGTTATCGGTGAGGCACGAGGGATAGCAAAAGTTGTCCTGCTTGATGGCGACGATGGTTCCCTTGAGGCTGAAGTAGTCGGGCTGCTCGCCCATGCCCAGGTTCTCGTCCTTGACCTGGCGGACTGTCTTAAAGTCGTCCTTGCGGCCGGTCGCCGCGCCCACGCTGCTCATGCTCTTGTGCGTCAGGAACGACTGTGTCCGACCCATCGAGTCGTACCAGCCCTTCAGCCGGTGCGCTTCGGGAATATCTGGATCCGCGGACCAGCTGCCGGAGGATAGGAGAGACAGGTTGCGACCGTTGAAGTCGCTTACTTTGCAGTCCTTGAAGGCGACGATCGACTCCTCGGTGGCGTCAAAGCTCGTTGCCTGCTTGCCCCAGAGCGTCAGGCGCACCGAGTAACCGGTGTCGTCGACCAGCGTGATGTCGCGCTTGTCGAACGGCTTCTGGGTGGTCTTGCTGATGATCGAGTCTACCGGCCCGACCTCCTTGATCACACCGAGCACATCAACAATGGTATTTGCTTCCACGTTCTGCAGGTCCTGAATGTTGCACAAGTTCAGACGGACTTGCGGGACGCTGCCGTCATCTTCTGCTTTTTCGATGACAGTGTCGCGATCGATCACCATCTCGTAGTCACTAGCGCGAGCGTCTAATTTCCTCTGAGCCATCCTCACCTTGCAGCCGGAGATGTAGTAGACTTGGCCTTCCTGCAAGACGTCATACCACCGGTCAACAGCGTCGTTGAAGCCAGTCATGCGGATGTCGCCGGTCTCATCGAAGAGGATGACATTGAAGAGCTTGCCCTCGCCACTGGCCTTGTGCCAGGTCCGGATGGGCGGTTTCGACCTAACGCGGACCTTGATAGTCCACTTGCTGTTGTAGGGAGACAGCGCCTCGACAGGGTAGATGACGCTGCCGTTATGAGACATGCCGCCCCCCCCACTCCCATTGGACCTTGTACTACCGGTAGAAATCTGTCTCTGTACCTGCGACTTCGACTCCTGCGGCTCCTGCTTGGCGCCGTAGAAACTAGTGCCGCCCATTGCGTTGGCCTGGGGCTCTGTGTCTCGCGTGTCCAAACCCTTGGGCTCGCCGATCTTGTCTGGAGTGCCGAGGGAAGTGATCACTTCAAGGTCCAGCACGACGAGAACCCTGGGGATGTCAGCGAGTACTTTTTTTTTTTACACAGAATAAGACCCACGGATTCGACTTACCACTTGCCCTTGACGGATTGAGCCTGGTACTGCTTCAGACGCACAATGCAGTTGCGCTGAAGCGAGCCATCATGGACGACGTGGTTGGCCTGGGTAGCCAGCATGCACTGAACATAGTTCCGCATATCACTCAAAACGATGCGGTACCTCTCAGCGCCACCAGGCTGCTGCGCGCCCGTCTGCTGCCCGGAGAGGGTCTTGATCTGCAGACATTGCAAGACAGGCACCGGAAACTGACGCTGAGCCCGGTCGGGGTCGAAGAAGATAGCCTCGATAGCACCTTGGGTGATTGCTTGTGCCGCCATCTCGCTGTGATCCCGTTTTCTGCTTACTCCTACAAAAGTACCGCAGTGCTCAGGATCGAACTATAATGCCAGCCAGGGCGGTGTATAGGTCGATGTTGGGATGAAGTAAGTAGGTGGGCTTGTTGAGTCTAGGCTGGGGGCCTGGAGTGAAGTTTGGAGTTTGGAGGGGTCGCGACGAGCCACGCGCAAACGCGTGTCGTGGGGCAGCCCTTAATTGGAGCAGGTGGACCCCGCTTTCCCCACGTGCTTCGCGCTGTATGTAACACTCTACGGCTTACATCGTAAGTTACAAGCCTCGAGGTCTGGTTGTTGGTATCGACGATCATCTCCAGATGCAATCCTCTGCCCAAGCACAACTGAGGCCTGCTATTGCTCCTTGATAGACCAGACTCCAACAAACATCTGACAGTATAGAGACGATATATACACAGAATTTAGGCCAGCATATCGGGCACCAATAAAATGCAGTCAGGCCCAGCAGCGGGGTCTTTGGCTCCCGCCCTCCATCCAATAAGTCGGTGAAGCTGCAGCTCCGCCCAATTCACCCGTCTCTAAGTCACTGTTTACTTTCTCAACATTTTTGAAATCCTCCAAGGTTATACTCATCAATTGAGAGTCGACTTCTATACAGTTAACCCCCAAACGACACCACAATGGCCCCCATCATCGACTCCCACATCCACCTCAATCCCTCCTCCGCGCTACCCACTCTCCCCTGGCGCGATCCCTCCCATCCCCTCCACCGCGAGCACTCAGTCTCCGACTACAATTCCGCCACTGGTTCTCCTTCCAGCCTCTCCGGCTTCATCCTCATCGAAGCCGACCACAGCTCTAATGATGACCCCAACTCCTGGACCCCTCACCTCCAAGAAGTCTCGTTCATGTCCACCATCGCAAACAACAATCCCTCCTGTCTCGCCCTGATTCCCTGGGCCCCCTTGCCCGAAGGGGCCGCAAAATTAGAGGAGTATCTCACCGCCGCCGAGAAGGAGGTCGGGACCCAGGCATGGAAGAAGGTGCGCGGGTTCCGGTTCCTGCTGCAAGACCAGCCGGCGGGGACGGGGACGAGTGAAGGCTTCGTGGAGGCGTTGAAAGTGTTGGGGAAGAAGGGGTATGTGTTTGAGGTGGGAATTAACCAGCATCGGAAGGGGAAGAGGCAGTTGGAGGAGGTGTGGGAGATGATTAGTAGGGTGCAGGAGGGGGTTGAGGAGGGGGAGAGGGTGAAATTTGTGTTGAGTAAGTGATTTAAAATGAGTTGGGGTGAATGTGCAGAATGAGGAAGTGAGACTGATAATGAGATATAGACCACCTCTGCAAACCAGACCTCACAATCCTCAACCAAGCTGATCCATCATTTCTCGCCTGGTAAACCCCCTTTGCCCTCCCAAACCCCTTACAGTGACTAACCCCCCTCCAGGCGCGAAGCAATGTTCACCCTCTCGAAATGCCCCCAAACCTACATCAAGCTCTCGGGCTGCTTCTCCGAGCTGCCCGAGAAACTGCGCCAGCGCCCCGCTGAGGACATCGTCTCGGCCATCCTGCCTTGGCTAGCGGTATTGCTTGCGGCATGGGGCCCGAAGCGCATCATGTTTGGGAGTGACTGGCCTGTGTGCACGGTCGGCGTTGGAAATGATGAAGCATGGAAGAAGTGGCACCGGGTTGTGGAGTTGGTGTGCGATTTCGCCGGATTGAGTGTTGAGGATCAGGAGAGGATTTGGAGCGGGACGGCTAAGGAGGCTTATGGACTTGAATAGTTGGGGGACCAAAGCGTTTGATCTGGGTTTGGCATAGAATATGGAATGGTGATTGGGATTTAGTAGGATGGCTAAACGCTAAACAGGACAGTCAGCCATATTTTCAGGGACTCGATCGCTGAGTGGTCGATGCGCATGAGCACAAGAGCAAGCTTAGAAATCTCGATTCGGGCGCCAGCTGGAAAAGTGGAAATGATTTGACGTTGAGAACTTGGATGTAACGACGTCTATGAGGACATTCAAATGCTCTTGTAACGGCTAGGCGGCACGAACAGTATTCGCATACGACTCTCGAGGCTATAAAAGATCCGGCACCAATAGGTTGAGCCGAAATGTCCTCCCAAGTATCAAACCAATTCAGCAGTCATTCAGTCTAACATTGGCTCGGAATGACTGCTGCCATAAGAATGACTCTGCACTCAAGCAACCTGACCTCGCGGCAAAGGCCCCAAGTCGAGTACCGAGTTTTCCCATGGACACGGCTATACAGCCATGTGGAAAAGTCCGGTCAGCTCGGCCCCTAAGCTCCAAATATGGACATATAGACCTCTAGCAACATGTGACATGGTCAATACAACCAGGGGGTTGCAAAGTTGACTGTTCGGAATAGCCGAACAAATTTTGACGTATAGAGACAGCAGTCACTAATCAGGTTTCCAGGCTGACAAAAGAATTCAGCCGGGCAGTTCGACCATAGCCCTGTACGGGCCACCAGTGAGATGGATCAAGAAGTCGGTGCTCTGACCCTGTCAAATTGGAAACAAGGCATAACTCGACACAATGCTGGCCGCAAGGCTGGGCTAACAGATTGCTTGTGTGCAGAAACGGCCATCGGCGACCATTCATACAGGCCGGTCCCCTGACCGCCCCGCCTAGGGCCGACCATAGCCCATAGTGTAGACAATCCGCACTCTACTGGTAGATCCCGTGCGATTCGGCTAATGGTAAGAGTAAATCATTGCCCAGCGTGATGATGTGATCAACAACACCATCGTCAGATCTTCAACATAGCCGGTACACCAATACTTCCAACAGTTCAAGAGAGCCCGTGAGTGTGGTTTACCGGTTCCATTGCCTCGGTTGCGTGGCGACGTCAAAGGTGACCGGGGCAAATTTCGTCCCTGACTCAATATTTCAGCCCTGACATGGGTGTGTTTGCCTCTTTTCTCTTTCGGGGCTCGTCTCCAATCACTTGGATCCTTTCATTATTTTGATGAGAAAAGCGTTTACCGATATCATGGCGGCACTGCTTGCCCTTGCAAGGGATGGATATTATTGCTGCTTTCATCAGATCGGTAAATGCCATCGGAAACGGCCACATGGCCGAGCTGGGAAACCAAATGCGTGGGAACTCTGACTGCCATGCTGGTGGAGCAAAGATAATGCGTCGCAACTCTGCGACAAAAGCAGCATTAAAGAATATATCACTCGTCAGAAGCTGTTCCTCACAGTAAGCATCAGCAATGTAAACAACATCGCTCATCCCCAAACTCCCAGAGAATTGCCGATGGAAACACGCTCGAAAAACATCTTGACAATTTTCCTTGACCCCGGGCAGAATGACATGACAGACCAGGGTCCTGATGAGAAAAACGCAGAAAGCATGGGCGGGAAAGCGACCCGAGGCTTGGCAGGCACCCGGGAGGGCGGAACGTCTGGGGAAAAAGGGGCAGGCCCGTCGAAAAAAGCAAAGAAATCACCTGAAGGAAAAAGCGCCAAAAAAAAAAACAAGCAAGCATTCCTCCTGGCGGAAAGCGGCGCCGACTTCCGGTAGCGTACTTAGCGAAACATGACCCTGGTTCTGGGAAAATCTGGTTTAGGGCGGGATGAGTTGATTGTGAGGACTGAAAACAAAAAAAGGATGTTGCAGTGCAACGGGGTTGCATTTCGAAGACTTCTGGTTAGCCTGTATGAGTGTTCCAGAAAATTGCTTGAAACGGACAGACACCCGAACTGTCAACTGGGGCATACGCAGCGCGGGAAGATCATGAAAGATGACCTGACGCGATAGGAAGGCAAAACTTCAAAACATGTTAGATGCGGTCTTTGTTGGCCTTGTAAGAGTGTTTCAGAGCTTGTAGGCTGCCAGATGAGATGCGGATTGTTTCACCAGTTGTGGTAGCTGGCCACAAGGCGATGCTATCTTCGGAGAGATCTTCCAACTAACATGACTGCCTTCCTCGCCCGTAGCAAAAAAAAAAAAAAAACAAATCATCTGGGGGCGGGACAAACTGGTAACCGTACGATATCAGCTCCTCCTGCTGACAGCATTGAGCTGAGAACCGGTGGTAGCACATCGACGGTACGGCTGTGACTGGTGTTGCTTTGCCGCTCTTAACGGTTCCTGTCAGGGGAAGAGAGTGCGGCGTGGAGGATCTGAGGACAGCAACGTTGAGTGAAAGGCACTCTGATATGGATCGACCGGATCGCGAGGCCAAACTTGTTTATGCGCCGCCCCCGAAGTCGCATCTGAGTATCGAGGATCCAGACATCGAGCGAACCAGGTACGGACGGCCGTTAACGTGAGGGGATGGGGGCCATCCAGCCTTCCAAAAAGCTTCGGAGAGAAGGAGCCCGTGGAAGTTGATGCGACCTGACTTTGGGGTTTAGGACGTCCTGACAACTACTACCGATATGGTTCCTCAACAAAGGTGTTTGCTAGCGTAAATTATCCAGGGCTATTGGTTTGAGAAGTACGTCGCGGAGAATGCCATTGCAGCGCAAGCTCATTATCGGGACTTTGGGCCGAGCTTTAGTGAAAATCTGTCATCACTTTTCCCAAGCACAACATTACAGCCGCACCGCGACCATTCCTCTCTCTCGTCAGCTAAATCCCCTATCGTTTCACAAGTGGCAATCGGCCAGGCGACAGCTCAGCGCACAGTCGCGCGCTCTCTGATTCTCATCCAACCTCGGTTTTAGGTTGGGACGAGCTTGTGCTCTGTGCGATGGATGCGGGACATGAAAGGTAGACCTTGTGGGCCTACTCCTGGCACCAATCCCAGGCGGGCCCACAGCGTACCCCACAGACCCCAGACGGAAATTCTGTCGGATCGGTGGAAGCATGAGCTTCTGCCGCGAAGCTGCCCCACGGGGCCGAATCTCTGTGAAAGTGTGTGCAGCTTTGCAGCTGTTGGAATGTGATTGCACATCGTACATGTGTCTGTAAGCATGCGAGCTACTCCCTGCGGTCAAGCAACGGAAGCAAACCACCTCCGGTTTGTGATGTCCATTTGTTTGCATCCATCAGTCTTTTTGCTGCAGGAATGGCGTCTCATGGGCCAGTCTCACCTCACCCCATCACTGCGCCTGGATGAGCACATCTCCGGCCGGCAAGACGGCCAACCATGGTTCTGTCTTACTTCAAGTGTCATACGCGGCTTCAGGCTGAGTTCAGGCGCATTCGTCACTACTATGAGTGACAATAATCCAGGTTGACACTCCGTCTGCCAGCTCCCAGCTCCCACGAGCCTTGGAACTAAGTACAGCTTGCTCATCCGTCGGATGCAGCAGGCGGATCAACCCGACATGCTCGCGGCTCCGCAATGCAAAGCCCAGGAAATTTCTGTTATTGTCCGCTGTTGGCATCTCGGAATAGAACGACAAGGCGGAGGAATCCCTCCCGAGACCGTTGGATTGCATCAAGCTGCAGCGCAGATGCCATGGATTTCTCCATAGTGGGTGCTTGAAGCAATCTCGTTGTTAGAGAGACGTGATTTTCTGGAAGCTCGTCTAAGTGTTCTCACATATTTGCCTTCAGAGCCCCAGTGCCACAGAGCAGCAGACGAAATCTTTTTTGCCCGAACCAACCTGTGGGTGGCACAATTCTCACGGCCAAAAGACAGAAAGACAGAAATCTGGCCTTTGTACCAGGGTGGGAAAAAAGGACCCCAAGCTTTGGAAAAAAAAAAACAAAAAAACAAATTCGGCCGACGGAGTCCACTTACGGAGGTGGTTCCGTGCGCCGGCTTCAGATGCGACCTTCCCCAGAATTCCTGTGGTGTGGACCACGGCACAAGGAATGAACACATCGGGAACAGGAACGTGCAACGTGAGAACTCCCAATATCTCACCCCTGCTCCCTGTCATATCAAATGGTATGGGCACGGATGGGCATGGGTCATGGTCGGGCCCTCGGTCTGGTTTCGGTGCTCCTCCCCCTGGTTTCCCGAGCCTGCCGCATTCTCTCCCCTTCTTCTGGATACAAGTACATAAGATCGCTGTTGATCTCATCGTCTTGCCTTTCTGCTTTCTGCTTCTCCCTCTTCCTCACCACAACCATCTGCCTAACCGACCGACCATCTGTCTCTGCCTTTGTAACTCCGGCCATCCTCATACATCTGCCGTTGGTACCGCAGTGTTGATAGCAAAATCAGACACACAAAGAGAGCTTTGTATGCATCCCATTTGGATATAACATTCCTTCGGCCTTCTTCTCGACACATACCTACTATCCACCAGCCTCGAACAACTCATTCCAAAGCCTTCCGGCGGTCAAACAACTACATAATATCTCGTCTCCCCAGACACTCATCTCTAATCTACACTACAACCACAAGACATACAACTCAGTCGCAATGCCCTCCACAACCGAGATCGCTACTCCCGTCCCCGTGCCTGCCCCTCGCCGGCAGCAGCACGCCATGCCGACGCTGATTACCTCCCCGGAGCAGCTTTTCGCCAGCCTCAACGCGACCTTGGCCTCCAAGATGGCATCTGCCAACGGCGACAGCGACCTGCTCGCCACGCCGGTTCACCACATCCAGGAGCACGATTACTCCGTGCCGGCGCCCCCACCGCCCAGCCCGGTCAGTTTCAATCAACACCATGTTCAGTGGGGCGCTCCGCAGCGGTGCTGAGTGATCGATTGACTCGATACATTGTGGTTTGGATTTTACGGCTTTATCGGTTTTGAACATTTCAGGGTATCATGCCATATCATATGGGCGTTGTGGAGTTGGAGGTTATTTCACTTCTCTTATTGCAAGCTATTGATTGTTGCCGGATCAGATACCCGTCATTGCTATTTCGCTTCGCTGTACGAGCTTTTGGGCTTTACGCATACGAGCTTTATTACCCTACCTACCTACCTACCTCAGCCACCTAACTTCCGACCTCACCTCATCTCCCACACACACCCCCGTTGACATCAGCCACTACCTTTTTTTACCAACTTCTTAAAACTGCCCATCGGCACATCATTCACTTTGTTGGGTACCAAAGCTCGGACTTGGGATAACTTTGGGAGGGACAACTGGGATGGAAAACAACGCTCTGCTAAAAACAGCGAGCGAACGGGAAAAGGAGCAACGGCAAGCCCTGCTTCGAACTAGACAGGAATGGGAAAACAAGGGAAGGAAATTGGGATACACAAAAAAAAATCTTTTTGTTTTACAGCTGTTGGAATTCCGTGTTTTTTTTTTTTTTGGTTTTGGTTACTGTACAAATAGAGTTAGCAGGCCTGGAAAGTGAATAGAGGATTTTGGGACAATCAATACTCTACTTCTTTTCACGTTTTGCGAGTTGTGCTGCTGGCATGTGATCTGTCATAGGCTGACAGGTTATTATGTTGTCAAGCTAGATTGCCTATAGTGGAAGGACTTAGATTGGCAATATCTGTCCGGCGGTTTCATTCAACGCCGTGTCTCACAACGTCCTGCATGCAGTAGGCCTATATACATCGGTGTACTGCTCGGTGAGATATTCGCTGAGTAATCGGTTGCTGGGATCATTTCTTTGCTTGTCACATTGCATATCTCAAATCACTCAAAGCCAACCAGCAGTTTCACCCTGAGACAGTCTACTAGTCCCGCAGCCAGATATAAATGATAAACTTGCATAGATAGAATATAAAAGTCCCAGACGACAACTCAGCCATGATGTCCCCCAGAAGTCTCAATGCCGTTGTCCCCAAGACTCGAGCCAATTCGGTCAATTCGCCAGGGATTAATCTACTGTACGTGGTACACTCCGGATACGGACATCGTAAACCGTCTACCCCCGCAAAGACCTGACACAATGTCTCATTTCGGGCCCATCCCCCGCATTTTGCTCGTCAGGATCTATGCCTGATTGGATTGGTACGTTAATCAGCTAGCCGCTCGGTGGTTTGGGGAAACTGGTAGCGAGAGCGGGATTGAAGGGGATTTTTTTTTTGAGGGGGGGGGGGAATAAGAGATGTATCTCGCCGGGTATGAGTCAAGTCAAGGAGAGCGTGGGAGATATGTCCGAGAGCACATAAGCATGGGACAGAATGAAATGGGAGATGTGGGGAGAGGCGGGGTGTGTACCCGAGCCGTTCAAGAGCGCGTTTTACTGGTAGAGAAAAGAGCACCTCCCGCATCTCAATTCGTCCACCATTTTCCTGCCACCTTTTTCTAGCATTGAAGAATAAGGAAAGTATATCTGGCTACTCTGCCCATCTACTGTCTTACTGCGCTCAAGATAGCTTCGTAACTTCTTCTCCCCTATCACAACGTTAAATATCGTCGCACATACTATAAAGCCTATCTAGCGGCGAGATGAGAGAACGCCTACTTCAACTTAAATTTCGATAGGATTTCCTCCAGCCATTTCAGCTCCAATCTATCAGATATTATGTTAATTACCTCGGGGCACACGCGGTGTAACGGGCGATCCGCAAGATTTATCCGATCTTTATCTCTCTTACTTTTATTCTTTTTTTTTCCTTTCTTTTTTGAAACCTGCGGGATGTACGGATCTTATTCCGGTATTGAGAGGTTGGGGAACCGTAGCCGAGAAGCCAACATAAGCGCATTCAGTTAAGATGATGGCGTCATAGTTGTCGGGACCTCGGTCAGATATTGAGTCATGTGTGTGTGGAACCTTGATAGCCGATGTCGTGAGGGGAATGTTCAGCTTCGGCGAGATATGAATCTCAGACGCGAATATCGAGTCCAAGTTGGATGGATTAGATGTTCTATGCTTGAGAGAACCGTAGGTAGGTTATCTTAGGCATATCAGCATTCGTGGGTGTTGCTTTCCCCCACTACCCCTATACCATGTCATACAGACAAAACGGAAGAAAACGCCGAAACAACAAGCCACAAAAGCTCAAGAACTTTGGCCCTCATCGACTGGCTTGTCCCCGGTCACATGTTATTGCACGCCCATGACAACGTCTCGCAGACATACTTTTTTTTTTCTTACTTATGCCATCATTCGAGAAGATTTTATCCATTGATAGTGACAATCTAAGTCTACGACCTCAGGCTTTCCGACTTAAAACTCTCAGATTTCGCCATATGCCATGATCAACCCAACACAATGCAGACTCTATATTACGGCAGATCCCCCAGAGATGTAGATGCATGCAAACTGTAAAATGGCCCCAAAATATATGCACTTATGCACCATCCCGTCGAAATCCCCGATGTATATGCGGTCAACCAGTCTTAATCCCCAAGATTCAGGAATATATGGTATCGATGATGAACCAACCACACGCACTTATGTAAACTGTCAACAGCAACTTCCGGTCTCCGACGGCTGGTCTGGCCTCCTCCTTACCACCGAATCACCCTTCCATCCTCCCCAACCCTCCTCCTCCCACTCTTGACATCCCTCCTCGACGTACAACAACACCCCATCCCAGCATGCACCGCAAACCCCACAACTCCCGCCCCCGCCGCAACCCACATAAACACAAACATCATGCCCCCGACCTCCGCCCTAATGTTCAGCTCACTCTGAGCCGTCGCCGCGTACTTAAACGCAACGCTAATCACACTGCCCACGACACTCGCCGAGAGTGTCAAGACCATATTCAAGAAGGCGGCGAAGGCTAGGGGCAAAGACCACCAGCGGGAGGACAGGGCGAGGGGGGAGAGCGGGCAGAGCAGGAAGGAGAGTAGGGTCGAGGTGAGGAAGAAGCCGAACATAATTTGGGAGGAAATGCGCAGGACGGAGAGGATTGTGACGATTTGGGAGGGGAGGGCGATGGTTGCACCGGAGAGGAGTTCACTGGTGAGGATGGAGACCGGGTCGAACCAGTAGAGGGGTTTGGGTTCGCTGCAGGCGGTGATGCCCCTAGTGAGAGAAGATTAGTAAGTTGCGCTGGGAATGAGAGGTGAAAGAGGAGAGGGGGTTGGGGACACATACTCATTCATATACCCTTCACAAAAATTCCACAACCCAACCTGGTAAAAGTCATGCAAGCCGATGGTCTGCGCGATAGAGTTGATCAGCGCAGCGTTGGGGACCGACATAGGAATGATGTCAGCGAGGATAAGCTTAAAGAAGTAGATGTCGCGGAGGACGGGTCGGGGGTGAGTGTTGCCAATGAGGACCTAGTCTCGTTAGTACCATTCCCCATATGCAAGATTCGGTATCTGATGTACAAATGTTGGGTATAGGATGTGAGATGTGAGATATAGCTTTGGTGGAGATGTGCGACATACCAGGAGCAGGAAGATCCAACTAATGAGATAAGAAAACGAGGCCAGCAATGCGAACCCCTTTCGTACGCGTGTCGCACGCTTGAGCGCCTCATCACTTATCTCGGAGCCATTGGCCGTGACGATGGTATTGTGTTGTGAGCTGGGAGCATCTTGAGAAGGTCTACCTGACGATGGTTGTGTTAATGGTGCTGAGGGATCATGCTTCTCGGAGGTGCTGTCGGTGTGCTGGTGGCTCCTCCGGGGGCGAAGAATTGATGGGAGGGCCATTCGGGGCAGTGAGTCTGAGATGCCGGTCTTGAGTCAAGGAAAATTGTTGAAGAGAGCGTGACGTGAGTTGGAAGATGTGTATAAAATGCCAGCGCAGACCGGCTGCGAGCTTGCAAAAACGCGTGTTTGACTCAGGGGTGCCTTAAACAGGCCGAGCGGAATGTTTCCCCAGGCTGAGCCACGCGATGAAGATCCAAAAAAATATGGGGGGAATGAGTAAACGGGATAAAACAATGAATCGAGGCTAGGAATGGCCAACAAGCACAAACGAAGGGCTGCTGAACAATGATGATCGTTTTCACGAAACGACAAGGTTGAGGGAGAAAGAAAAAAAGAAAAAAAGACAACGCGAGTCGCCCCAGGATTTCTGCCTGCAGACGACGAGATCACTGGCTGGCCGATGGGATAGAGACAATGGTACAGTAAAATTCAAGGCCAAGTCAGCATGATGTTAATGTGTTCATTCAACAGTTGATGGACAATCGGGAGATACTTGAATGAGGCAATGGACAAGCTTTTCCAATCCCACTTCACGATTTGCTTTCCAATCTCGCCTTTTGCCTATTCATCACCAGAAAAATCGAAAGCCAGGGAACGACCAGACAGCGCGCTCTGGCGATCAACCCAAGGGACCCCCGGCCGTTGATCCACCCAGTAGTCTGGGACGCAGCTCCTGGAGGGAGCTCCAAGACGAACCACTGGCTGACAGGCCCTGACGAGGATGAGATGAAAGCGCTTCTGCTGGATTTAGTTCGCAAGCTCACCTTTCTCACCTCTCGACGGCGCTTACACCTTGTTCTGCTCTGACAGTGCGACCCTACCTCGTGGTGAGAAGCGTTTGGAGATCTTGTGAAGGGGGGGGGGAAAAAAAAAATCTGGCGATCGTGATGGAGGGTAGCGAAGACAGATCTCCAAAATTTCAGGCTCGTCCGCAGGTTCTGCAACGGTCATCGTGGCACCGAGCAGTGCGGCCCAAGTGGAGCGCCGAGCTTTCGTGCTAGGAGCTTAGCCCTGCGATCGACGTCATCCCCACATGCAATCTGGCACGAATGCATTCCTATTCCACAGCGTCTGGCAGCAAAACTTGGATGGAGACACAACAGTCCTTGGACCTTATCGGATTGATGTATATGGTTGCTTGGGAAAACAAGATATATAGCCCCCAAGAAAAAATATTGGAGATCATAACATCAAGGAAACACGTTCCGAGTGGCCAAAACCAAGCCTGCCCATCTCTCGTGTCCGCGCAATCACAGCCGCCGGCTAGGGACCCTAGGGCTGCTAGACCCGCCGCTGCGGCAGTGCTGACAGGGGTATGGACTCCATCGCCCCCCTGCCAAGAGGCACTGGCGTTTGGATTTGACGCCTGCACAGAGAGTTCCATCCAATCTTGGGTTCTGGACCGGCCAGGCACAAGCGCAGATGCAAAATGCGAGCCTACCCAGCTGGAGCTGGAGGGGGAAGGGAAACATGAATGCCTGATCAGAGCTCTGTTCATTCAAAATGACCTGTAGGAACCTCATTGTTGTTGTTGTTCGGTCCGGGTTTTGTATCAACATCGTCAACGTCCAAGTTGCTGTCACTTCCGCCCCGGGGCGAAGCTTACCTCTCTCCCTACCGGTAGGAGATTAGGTCAAGGTCGCTCCAACATGGCGTCCCTCAAGCGCATCACGACCCTGCTGTGGGCCGTCTGGCTGCTGTTCCTCTTCGTCGGTCCAGTATGGGGCCAGAAGGGCGGCGATGATGACGATGACGACGACGACGACAAGAGCACCAGCCCCAGCGTCATCTTCCTGACCGGCACTAGAACGACACCTCTTACAAACATCCCCTCCGGCATCTACAAGACCTACACCTCCCAAATCACATTGGCCTCAACCTCGTTGGGCACCGACCTCGGCGCCCTAACAGCCAACATCACCGACGACGACGAAGCAACCACTTCTCGCACGCGCACAACCCTCACCGGCTCGGTAGCCACCACAACCGGCACCGCCAACAACAACGGCACGTCGACTTCAACCTCAACCGCAACCCCAACCAACACTCGCCCCTGCAACAACTACCCCGAGCTCTGCGCCCGGAAATACAGCAACATCACGCAAGTTGGCACCCATAACTCCCCGTTCGTCCGCTCCGGCTCTGCCGCCGCCAACCAGCAATTCGACGTCATCGCCCAACTGGACGACGGCGTGCGATTTCTGCAAGCACAGATCCAATGGCCGACGAATGGGTCCGTCCCGCATTTTTGCCATACCTCTTGCGACCTGCTCGACGCGGGGCCGATTACGGATTGGTTAAGGACCGTGGCAGAATGGGTGGCGGAGCATCCGTACGATGTGGTCACCATCTTGCTGGGCAACGGGAATTACTCGAACCCCGACCTTTACGTCCCCTACATCGAGGAGTCGGGCATCACGCGCTTCGTGTACACGCCGCATGTGGTGCCCTTACGCAGAGATGATTGGCCTACCCTAGGCCAAATGATCCTCTCCGGCCAGCGCGTCGTCATGTTCCTGGACTACGTCGCCAACCAGACTGCCTACCCTTGGTTAATCGACCAGTTCTCGCACATGTGGGAGACGCCCTTTGACCCGACAGACCCAACCTTCCCGTGCATCGTCCACCGCCCGCCAGACCTCCCACCCGACGCGGCCCGCGATCGGCTGTACCTCATGAACCACAACCTAAACGTGGAAGTGTCCCTCTTAGGCCAAACAGTCCTGGTCCCCGCGGTCAGCAAGCTAAATGAAACGAACGCTGTCGAAGGGGAGGGCAGCCTGGGGAGTGCAGCACAGAATTGTACTCGGGACTGGGGTAGGCCACCGAATGTGTTGAATGTGGATTACTATAATTTTGGAAATTATCCAGGAAGTGTTTTTGAAGTGGCGGCAAAGATGAATAATGTGACGTGGGTGCGGAAGCGGTGCTGCGGGAGTGAAAAGAGTGGTGTCGGGAGGTTGGAGGAACGGTTGGCGGCCGTGGTGATTGGGTTGGTTTTTGGGTTTTGGATGGCCTTGTCGTAAACTAAGGGAGTTGATTGATTAGAGGATAAAGAGAGAAAGAGAAAGAAAAAGAAAGAAGAA